CCGCTCAGCTAAATCCCCAGCCCCTACAATTTTTTTTTTGTTTTTATAAGACAACATCTCACTAAGCAGTTCAGGCTAGTCTTGAATTCAGTATGTAGCCCAGGCTGGCCTCAAACTTGCAGCCATTCTCCTGCCTCAGCTTTCCAAGCACTGGCACATGACAACTCAAATGTCATGTTTGTTTTGTGTGCTCAAGCACTCTTTCAGCAACTAGAAACTCAAGCTTACCACCTAGTTAGAAGGAATAAATCAAAAAGGAAGCTCTCGTGACAGTTACATTGTTGATGTCCTCTTGGCCAGGTTGCAATGTTCAGTTTTCTACCCAAAACACTAGTCCAGATGCTGGCAGGAGGGATTTTAGGAGAAGATTAACATCTCTACCAGCAGACTTTAAGGACACTGCCCTTGATAATGTGGGTGGACTTAAGTCCATGACAGGACTTAAGAGTAAACCCTGAGGTTTCCCAAAGAGAAGGAAATTCTGCCTCAGGAGTGTAACACAAAATCCTTCCAGTCAGCTGGTCTGCCACAGAGATTTCAAACTCACCCGCATACTCATGTGTGCCAATTCCTCAAAATAAATCTCATATGTATCTCCTGTCAGTTTTACTCTGCAGAACCTGGATTGTTACAACCACCAAATATCAACCAGCATCGTGGGCCTTCCATGGCCCACGTCACACATTACAAATCTGACTTGGAGTCATCTACATCGTCCGGGCCACAGGCATGAAAACCATGAACTTACAGATAAGAACTCATACGCTGTTATATGCTCCAGGGGTTACTTCAGCCTGCCCAGCCAGCAACAAAAGTGCTTGCTGTTGGCAGAGAGAGCCAGCAGGAACTGAGGAAATGGAACTCTTCTGCTGCCCGTGACCCAAGGATCCTAAAATCGCTACCTATCCCCACTACCTGCCCAAAAGGGTCAAAGGCAATAATGCAGGAATCCTGCTACCTGTGTGATCTTCCTGGTGACCCCAACCACTGGCCTGGTCATGTACTCTGGCTCCCTTCTGTCATGTACAGGTTGAGAGCACATTTTTCAGTGATTCTACAAGTGCATTCAGAGCAGTGCTTACTTTATCTGATTCTGCCTACTTTCCATCTGTCAGGATTCCTCTTGGTTTTGATGCATCGTGAATAGCATTTGTTTGCTAGTATTAAAAGCATATACTCTCTCATTCCTAGGGATTTGGGATGGAAGGGTGAGACTGCCAATTTTGATTACTCCTCACCTTGAGCCTACAGACATAATACATTCTCAACAAATAGTTGTTGAATGAATGAATGGAGGAAAAAACCCTATACATTGGTGGAAGCACAATACACAGTATATAACAGGTGCTCAAAAGGGCATATTAACAGTAGTAAGTGAGAACAGAAATGCTAAAGAACAAAAGAATATGAACACCATAAGAAATCACATAAGAAATCAAAGTCCCTAAATCTTAAAACAAAATTAAGAACTGAAAGTAATCAGGCTGGTCTCAGACAAGTAAAGTAAAAATTAAAAAAAAAAAAATCCTGGGGGTTTTAAAAAGTAGAATTATCTTCTAAATGCTAAAAACTAATACTAGCAACAGGCATGGTGGCACACACCTATAATCCCAGCACTCAGAAGGTTGAGGCAGGAGGATTGCTGTGAGTTCAAGGTCAGTCTGGGCTACACAGTAAGACCTTTTCTCAAAAAAACTCAAAAAGGGCAGCCAACTCAGGACCTCCTCTGCCTCTCTCAGAAGCTTTCCCCAATAAATGTATTCTGCTCTTAAAACAAAACAAAAGCCTAACACTAACGTGTCGGAGGAGTAGCTCAAGGGTAGAGCATGTGCTTAGCATGTGCAAGGTTCTGGGTTCCATCCCTCAGCACCTATATCATTTGTTTTATTTTATTTTGCGGGGGGATCAGAAATCGAATTCAGGCCCTCACACATGCCAGGCAGGTGCTATGTCACTAAGCTAAATCTACAGCCAGCACCTATATAAATAAATAGGTTGATCCACTTGAAGAAGCTTAAATAAATTTTTATAAAAACTACTGTATTTGAACAGGCAAAAGCTTACCCTACATTTTAAAAAACTGCTCTTGCCATGGGACAACTCATTCAATAAGCAAATGAATACTCCAATATTATAAAAATCTGGAGGATGACAATATACACGTGATTAACATCTACGATCAGATGATTTTAAGCAAAGAAGTCTACCCTCAATAGTAGGGATGAGGACCCTTCATCTAATCAGTTGAAAGCAAAAATTAAAGTTTAACTAGGTTAATTGCTCAGGACTCTGATCACCATCCTGTATTCTTGTACAAGCTCTATCTCTCAAGACTTCATAAAATAAGCGATTACATTGTATAATCTGCTCAAATCTGTTTAGAGAAATGGAACTAGATTTATGAGGTACTGATTTACATGAATTCAACTATGTTTATAGTATGTCTATTTCTTCCTGGATTGAAAATACAGTCCTAATGGCTTTTATCAATGTGGATTTTCCTGTTACAAAATGGGCATGTATGCATAAAAACAACCACCTCATCAAAAGCACACCTTTGCTAAATAAATGAACATGGGCTTTAAAGAAGCAAAGATCTAGCTGGGAATGGTGGCACACTCTTGAAATCTCAGCACATAGGAAGCTGAGGCAGGAGGATCACTGCAAATTCAAGACCAGCCTGGGCTACAAAGTGAGCTGAAGGCCAATCTGAATTGAATAGTCAGACCCTGTCAAAAAGACAAAAAAAGACCAAAAAAAAAAAAAAAAAAAAACCCAAAAAAAGCCGGGCGTGGTGACTCAAGCCTGTAATCCCAGCACTCGGGAGGCTGAGGGGATAGGTTCATTGTGAGTTCACTAGCCTGGGCTACAAAGTGAGCTTAAGGCCAGCCTGAACTGCATAGTGAGACCCTGTCTCAAAAAGACAAAAAAAGCAAAGATCATAGAAGGATTAAAGCATCTCTGATCTCTAACTCAAAAATTTAAGTCACAATGAAATAAAAGTAGTTGGCACAGAATTGGTTTGTATGCTAATTGAAAATAAAAATACTATATAAAGCTAATTCCCTCACACTTTGTTACTTAAGTGGTTGATATTCATGCTTCCATTAACAAAGCTAAAGCTCACCTAAGAACATAACAGTAACATTCTTTATTGCTGCATGTTGTCAGTTGCAAAATATTGAAAAAAACCAAAAAGTTCATCAATGGGAGACTAAAAAACAAACAAACCAATGACACACATGTTCAAGGAATATTACACAGGCATTAAAAAGAACAAAAACTTTCAAATATAGACTATAAAAAGATGTCTCATATCTCTGAAAGTGAAAGAACAAGTGTAGAAGAGTATCAATAGCATGCTATGCTTGTACAGTGTTTGTATAAGAAACTATAGAAGAAGCCATGTGTGGTGGCATATGCCTATAATCCCAGCACTCAGAAAGCTAAGGCCACAGAATCACAGCAAGTTCAACATAGTGAGTTCAAGACCATTCTGAACTAAACAGCAAGACCCTGGATAAAAAAAGAAAGAAAGAGAAAATTCTGGAAGAATTCCAAGGAAACCAAAAGTTACTTATGGTTGGGAGGTGTACAAAAAGGAAGGGGAACTAGGTAAATTGACAACAGCAGTGAGGACTAATTTTTCACCATATGCCTTTCATTTTTTAAAACTAACCCTGTAATTTCAGCACTCTGGAAGGCTGAGACAGAAGGATCCCAATTTCAGGCCCAATTTGTGCAAGTTAAGAAGACCCTGTCTCAAAATTTAAAAAATTAGAAAAGGGGTGGGGATGTAGCTTGGTATGAAGGCTCTTAGTTCAATCTCTAACATCAAAAAAATAAATAAACATTCCCACAGAATAGAATGGGGAAAGAAAAAATAATAAATAAATAAATACATAAACAAGTAAACGAGATGCCTGTCTTTTTCAGCACTGTTCCGTGCAGTCATGGCTGACCAGAGTTTTATTAAAATACTCATGATCCACAGCTCTATTGCAAGCTTTCCTAAGCAGCTCTTGCTCGTACTCATCTCTGAAGGATTCATTCTTTGGCACAAAAGCAGACAGACACTGCAGGGAGGCAGGCTCACTGTCTGGTCCCTGCTTTCACCTGGCAGAAACTGGACGCACTGCTGAGAAACCAGCTTCGCTCATTAGCATGTCTTTATTTTACCGAAAGGCCAATGGCTGTGTTCCAATTCCGACACCTCACTCATTCCGCTTTCACCCAAATCCCCAAGAGATCCCAACCCGGAGAGGAGGCGGGTGTCCAGGGACCCCCATAGAGCAGATACCGATCCTGTGCCAGCAGTTCAGATGGGATTCTCCGCTGCTGTCCTGCACTTCCAGTGCTGATGCCACTAGCCAGCATCGAGAGGCAGTCACCTTTTTTAACTGAAGGCGCGCGACTGAAAGCAAACACGATATTCCTGGGCACTGTACACACCTCATCCCTATGCCTAGGCCGACAAGCACCCTTGCAGCTCTTCTGGCAAAGGGATGATCCGAGGGACTCTTACTCTCAGATTCCCAACGTTTCAGTGGAAATACTTTTTTCTTCTGACGGTCCCTAGAAAAAGACCAGCCTTGCAGACGCCAAGTTGGGCCTCCCTTCTCCAATAGGCCACGGGACCTTTCCCATGAGAATCCTCGTGCTAACCTTCCCGAGTCCCGGATGCGACAAGCCGGGGACAGTACCTGGCCCAGGTGCGCGTCACCCAGGCCAGGCCACCTCCCCCGGGACAGCCCCAAGACGCGCATCCGCCGGCGCGCGTCCCTGCCGCAGGGCGGATTATCCTGAGCCACTCGCGTCCCTGCGGAGGGTGACCCGGTGACCCCGCAGGCCCCCACAGCATCGCGCTCGCGGAGCAGCGCGGGAGACCCCCGCCTTCCCGACGACCCGCCCCCTCCAAGCCCGTTCCGGAGCCGCCGCGGCCACTGTGGCGCATCCCGGCGCACGGTCCCCACTTCCCCGCGCCCCTCCTCCGGCCTCACCGGACTTGGGAGGGTAGCGATAGACGGAATTGGACGGGATGTCCACCTCCTCCACACCCGCGTGCTGCCGGCTCGTCAGGGCCCCCATGGTCGCCGCGGCCCCCTCCGCACCTCACCGCCGCCGCCCGCCCCGCGACCCGTGCGGGGGTCGGCTGCCAGCCGCGGCTGGCTGGGCTGCGGCGCTGCGGCTGTGACGGCTGAGAGGCCCCGGCGCGCCGCGCACCATCCTTCGCCGGGCACCGCGGCTGCGCCTCTGCCGGGGGGCGGGGGGTGCAGGCCTGGGCCGGGGGGCGCCGTCGCCTCAGGCCGTGTGATGTCAGTGGCGACTCGCGCGGGGTCCGCCGCCATCTCAGCCAATGACGCGGTGGGGTGGGAGCGTCCGCCCTTTTCTAGCCAATCAGCGAAGGGCAGGGGCGGGCCGGCGGCGCGTGCCTAAGGTTGAGGCTGGACTAGCGGCTGGGACGCGGTTCGGGGCTCGGGGTTCGGGGTTCGGGGTCTGCGGGACCTGCGCGCAGTTGACTAGACACCATGTCGCCCGCTCTGCGACTCGGATTACCGCGCAGCGAATCCCCTCCTCTGGCATCGTGCGAGGCTCCGCCGGAGCTCGCGCGTCTTTGTCCCAGCGTCTGCCCCGTTCTTACCCCGCCCCCTCCTCGCTGTTTCCCGGACCCGCAGTTTTTGTCTGCCTTAGCAAAGCTGGCACAGAAGCGCGAGAGGAGGGAGCCCCTCGACCTTCCTGTTGAGCGGATGGATTGGGCTAGGAAGGGTCGACATCCCTATCCCTGCGCCTGGACCCCAGGTGCTCCCCACAGTGAGACCAGTTAACGCTGGTGACTGGCCGGAAAGATGCGGCCATTCCTGGTCCCGTAGGTCGGTTCATATTGCTCTCAACGCTATATATGCTGCTTATGTCCCCCTTGGACAGCTCAAGTAGCCCGGAGGTTAGAAGAGCATCAACTTAGGATGAAACGCCCATGTTCAGCCTCTCCCTGGATCTTGGAAACTAGAAAGATCTGTGATATGCAAGTGAGGAGCCATGGCTGGAGAAGGTCAGGCAAAGCCGATCTGGGATTCCCTTGATAAACACGAAACAGTAGGAAGCCTGAACAGGCAGACGTCATTGCACAGCTTAATTACAGACATTTGTGTGTTTTCAACCTTTTATTTTATTTGTGGCCATGGGGTTTTTGTTGCTGTTGTTGTTGCTTATTGTTTATTTCTGAGTGGGGACTGATTAGCAAAAATTGCAACTGTTAGAACATGGTTTCCAATATTTTTCAACAGCATCAAGAGCTTGGGGTGACAAGTTCCCTTGATTAAGTTTGGAAAGCTATTGTACAGGGTCTATCTTTTTTCCTGATTATATTTTGCATCCTCTGTCAGCCTCTTTTCAGCAGTAGCCAGCTGACTTGGTGCCAAAGTCACCCACATGATCGTTTTGGTTTCCTCCAAAATTCCCAGGATGGCAGGAACCTATTTCTGTCTCATATCCAGGGCCTTCTCACAAGCTACATCTGCAGTCCTTTTATGTTTGTTTGTTTGTTGGTACTGAGGATTGAACTCAAGACCTCGTGCTTGCCAGGCAGGCACTGTGCCACTGAGCTATCTCCCCAGCCAGACCTTTTTTTATTTTGGCTTTTAATCATTAATTGCTCAGGCCAGCCTTGAACTCCCAGCAAGCCTCCTGCCTCAGCCTCCAGAGTGTTGGGATTACAGACATGCACCACCACATGTGGCCCTGTCATTTATAGGAACCTATGTCAAAGAGAAGCTGAGCTACAGAGCAGGTCTCTGCCCCAGACAGCACTTCCTGGGCCCCAGGGCTTCTTGTCTTCAGAGTTCTCCCTGCAGCCTGTAGCCCTAACCTCTGGGGTCCCTTCTTTCTCCATGTACTGGCCCTGTCTTGTACTGTAATTGCTTGGTAAAGATACAATAAAAGGCAAGAGGCATCTAGCACCACCTCAAAAGAGAAGGCCGTTAACACTGTGCAGAGTAGAATGTTGCCTTATAACCTTGTTATAGACTTATTTCAGAAGTCTTTGTTCTTAGTGCCCTCAGCATTTTGCAAAGGGGTCACCTCTCCCCTTAATGAATTTATCTGTATCTGAAAGCTTCAGGCAGGCTGCTCAGTTCTGTTGCTTACAGTGTCTGTTTTACTCTCACCAACCTGTTGGGAGCTAGAAAACAATGGGGTTCATTCCTCTTTTCCCTGATACTCCCCAAGTCTAGAAGTAGGCTCCTCAAAGGAGTCAGGAATCCAGGGCCTGAAATAGTAAAGAAGCACCACAATATTAGTGGAAGTTTACTTTGGATAGCAGGCCCTGGGTTTTATTTGTGTCTATTTATTTATTTTTGGAACCAGGAATCAAACTCATGACCTCACACTTGCCAGGCAGGCCCCATGCCACTGAACTAAGCCCCTGACCCTTGTTTATGTTTTACAAAGAAAAGGAGTTTACTTAGTTCACAGATTTGGAGGCTGGAAGCCCCAGCAACAGGGCTCAGGCTTTTGCGAGAGTCCTGCAGCTGCATGACCCATGACAGCCTCAAACACTTGGCACATATTAAAGCATCTGCCCCTCCTAGAATGCTAAAAAGAACACTAGAAGTGCACGCTGTTAATACTTTTACTTTACAAATAAAGAAACTGAGGCAGAAAAAGACCATTGGATTTTAAATTGGACAAACTACGATCCTAAGCTAACTGTGTGTAGCTTTGGATTAAACCCTGAGAACCTTCGCTTCCTCATCTGAAAATAGTCCAGCCCCCAATCCTCATTTTGATAGAAGTCGTGGGTCTAGGTAGCATGAGGTCATGAGTTCGATTGCTGGTACCATAAATAAATAAATAAAGGCAGTTAGAGCCTCAGAAGGAAATGTGATATTTACTTTCATAAGTAGATATATAAAGTGCTGACCAGGGGTGGAAGAGAAAGAAGTGGGGGGGGGGGGATAATTCAGAGAAACTTCTAGATCAAAGGGGCTATCTGTGATTTGAGTTAGAGCCTGGTAATGTACAGCATAATCACATGGGGTTACAGATTGGGAAGAAGCCTCACCCAGGGCCTGGGGCAGGGGTGAGTTCAGCAGCTAAATCTCTAAGCAGCCTTGTCTGAAGGGGTCCAGCCCCGCATTCCTCTTTCAGATTCTTCCTTGGCTTTGTTTGGCTCCCTCACCAGAGACCTGTGTGGGGGACAGTGCCGAAAGAGAAGATGGCACAGAGGACAGGGAAAATCCAGAAGCAACTGCTCTTAAAAGAGCCATAAAAATGCTTTTAACTTGTAAAAATAGTCTGGGGAGAATCATGCACTGGGCTTAGGGAAATTACCTGCAAATACCGCACACCTTTTTTTTTGTTGTTGTCTTTTTTTCATTTTTATTGGTACTGGGGATCAAACTCACGACTGCCTGTTTGCAAGGCAAGCACTTACGCCGCTAAGCTAAATCCCCAGCCCTTCTGCACACCTCTTTTGTATGACTGACCTCCCTCCTGCGAATGCAGCAGCCCTTGGGAGGATCCCCGCAGAGAACCCAGCTTTCCAGGACCTCAGAGTTTCCCCTAAGCATCTGCAGAAGACCGGGGGAGAAGCCCTAGATTGTATTAGATTTGAGCCCTTCCTCTCAATCTTGGATCGAGGGGAAGCACTGGGACAAGTAACTTCTAGGTCAGCTTGTTCCTTGGAGCTTTTAATTTTGTTCATTTGGGCTGTCCTGGTTTCGGCTCAGATGTGCATTTTCCGTCCTGGTAACAAAGGCATTCATTTCAGCAGATTCCTCTAACAGGAAGGCGTGATGGAGCCTGCAGGTGGAAGCCAATGGACCAGTGGCCTGGAGCCCAGCATTCCCTAGGCAGCAGGTGCAGGCACAGGAGGCAGGCTGACACCTGAGGAACGTTGCAGGAGCTCAGACTGACCTAGCCAGGGGACACACGAAGGTTAGAATCCTAGTTGTCTGAACAACTAGGTGTCTAAAGGTTGCTATCTCTCTAAAAGCTAAAGTCCAATCAGCAACACACCAGCCCTGATGCATTCTCGGTAGCTTCAGTGGACTAAAGTCAAAGTCAACAACAGAGAATTTTATGTCATTAGTCTGTAGACTAAAGCTAATACTTTAGTCTTCTTGTAAATGCTATGGGACCTTAAAAAAGTTCCTCGGGTAATCCAAAGCTCTCTGATGAGGGAAATACGCTGCCCCTAGGAAGTGAGCAATTAGGCTTCCATATTTTGTTCCTTGCTAATGTGAATCCCTCATTGTTAATTTTGGCCTCAGCTGTTGGCCTCTAACAAAGAACTGTTCAAGTAGCCGCAAACCTCAGCTGGACTTGTAGCTTCTTAGCTTACTTCTCAGAACCAAAACGAAGCAGGATGTGGTGGTGTACACTTTATAATCCCAGTTACTGTGGAGGCCAGGCCAGGAGGATCAAGAGTTTGAGCCCAACTCAGGCCATTTAATGAGTCCTTATCTCAAAAGAAAAACTAAAAGGGGTCAGATGGTGGTGCATGCTTGGCATCCCAGCACCCTAGAAGACCCTGAGTTCAATAATCAATCAATTGGGGCTGGGGGTTTAGCTCAGCGGCATAAGCGCCTGCCTTGGAAGCAGGCACTCGTGAGTTCGATCCCTGGTACCGATAAAAACAAAAAAGACGAAAAAAAAAAGAAAAATAATCAATCAATTAATAACAAATAAATACTGCAAAGTAGCTGAGGGGTAGAGTACTTGAATCACATGCACAAGACCCTGTGTTGAATCTCCAGTACCAGAAAGGGAAGGGACCAACGTGAAGGTGTTGTTTACACAGTGCCCGGTGATAGAACCAGGGGGTAAGTGTGGGGCACTCCCTGAGTGGGCCCCAGAGCAGGCCGCATCTTCAGGCGTGTGTGCTCCACCAGACCTTGCCTGCCTCCTAGTTCCAGTCCTGCTGCCCAGGCACCTATCATCTGGAGAGCTGAGCCACGACAGCTGCTGCTCTAGAGCGCATTTGAAGAGACGGGAGGTGTCTTCTGCTTGCTTTACCTTCACAGGGGGTTTTATCAGATGCCAGCCCCCGTACACCTTCTGTGTGCCCACCTCTGCCATCGTTGTCCTTGTTGTTGGCCCTGGCCTTTTGGCATTGAGCTCACCCACCCGAGTCTGCAGTTCCTGCATGGTAAAGCCAGTGTGTAAAGAATGTGCCATGACATCCAGCCCAGTGGCATCCAGCAGACCCTGTCACCCTTCCCAAGAACCAGACCAGGTGAGCACAGAGCCCACCATGTGTCTCTGGCTACCAGAAAAAGCAGAATATGGACGGGGCTGTGAATGAGCTACCCCCAAACCTTTCTAAAATTTATTTATTTGTTTATTTGTTTTTTTGAGACAGGGCCTTACTATGTAGTTCAGACTGGCCTTGAACTCACTATGTGGCCTAGCCTGGCCTCAAACCCACAGAAATCCTCCTGCCTCAATCTCCCAAGTGCCCAAACCTTTCTTTACCAAAATGAATTCCATACTCAACTACAGTTACTTACAAGAAAGCAAGTGAAAATAAATCCTCTTACTTCTTGCGAGTCACTGAGCTATACCCTAGCTCTTGTTCCATCCCTTGTTTAGAGATAGGGTCTTATTAAACTGCCACGATTGGGCTCAAACTTGTGATTGCCCTGCCTCAGCCTCCCAGAGTGCTAGGGTTACAAGTATTTGCCACTAATCCTGGCCTCTCCTATTTCTGTTATACTGGGAATTTAACCCAGGGCCTTGTAAGTGCCCGGTAAGTACTGTACTAATGGAGCTACACTTCCAGCCCTTCCTACAGTTTCTTGAAATTCCCTGTCATGGCTGTATCATCAGATTTAAAAGGAACCTTGAAGGTGCGGCCCTTTCACCTGACAGGACAGTTGTAGCCATATAAGCACAGGGACTTGCTCAAGACCATGGGAGTGGCCGTAGGGCTGGGGACCTAGGGTTCCCTGATTCCCTGTGTATAGTAAGTCCATGTCTTTCAGACATTCGAGTTGTGAACTTTCACAGGAGTCCTCTGTAAGACAGACTCCTTTTGTCAGACATAGGAACAAATCCGACTTGCCAGCACGGTCTCCCAGAATGGAACTTGTTTGGAGGTGGGGGTTTACTGACAAGGGCCTGACTGCGGGGAGCTGGTGCTACCGGGGTTTTTCTTTTTCCCTTCCCTTCTTCCTTCATCTTTCTTTTTTTTTCTTCTTCAAGTTGAGCTGTCTCTCAGAGCTGGTATAAGAAAACAAGCCATTGGGGCTGGGGATTTAGGTCAGCGGCATAAGCGCCTACCTTGCAAGCACTCGATCGTGAATTTGATCCCCGGTACTGATTAAAAAAAAAAAAAAAACAAGCCATAGAAGAAGCTCAGAACCTCAACCCAAGTGCTCAGCCAGATGTGTCCAGCCATGGCAGTAAATGAGCCAGCAAGCCATAACACTCTCAGGAACGTTATCCACGATGGCTTGGCTGGAGCTGCTATCAGCTGGGGATGCCCTGCAGGGTAAGCCCCACACCCTCCCTTGGAAACCAGAGCCAAGGTCAGGGTTGCAGGGCTTGAAACCATGAACTGACCCGCTGACCAACGTCAACCACTGGCCACTCACCTGACTCCTTCCAGGCGCTGGAAGCTAAGAGCAGATAAGTGAAGGGAAGTGAGAGCAACCACTGAGAGGCAGGAGAGCAGACTCCAAGCAATGGGCAGTGAGGGTCCTTCCACAACTAGCAGAGCCCCAGTTAATGTCCACCACACGGCGAACCCGCAGTGCAGTCCAACAGCGCATTTCTTCCGGGGCTGAGTGTGTGTTTATTTAAGTGATAACCACTGTCCTGCTCAGGCAGACTTTGTGTTGACCCTGACAAAGCAATAAACAGAGGTAGTATTCAGTGTTGTGGTTCTTCCAGTTCCCTGCTGCAAGCCTTAGATCTTTCCTGTGCTCCACGAGTGCATATCTATGACATCGTGTACGTGCACTCTGTTATCCTGTATATTCTGAGATGAAATCTGGGTAGGAGAAGAGGGCTGGCAGTTTCACTCCCGTCTGGCTTCCCTACCTCATGATCTGCCTCCTTTCATTATTGCAAAAGTTATTCATTCTCAGGTTACTTGACTCATGTTAAGTGAGTAACTCTCAGGTTAACTTGACAAAGGTCCTGTAGACCTTTGTTGGCTCTGTGTGACCATGTAGAAGACAGACTCTCCTCCCTGGCCCTTCCCTCCCTCTGCTTGCCATATACCCCTACTTGCATCTCAAATGGAGCTTAATATTCCTGCTGGGTTTTGCTTGTGAAAAGCCCTTCCATAGGGCCTTTACCTCTCATTCTGCTTAGAGTGTAGCTCACTCAGCTGAAATCCCTGTCCAGGAAGCTGCTGAGGCTTATAGACTATAACTGGTCCTTTTTCTCAGAAGTCCTGTTGCAGAACTTCTTCATTTGTTTGTTTGTTTTGAGACAAGGTTTTGCTATGTAGTACAGGCTGGCCTTGAGCTCATTTACATTTCCCAGGCTGGTTTTGAACTCACTTATGTAGCCCAGGCTGGCCTCGAACTCATAGTAATCCTCCTGCTCAGTCTTTGGGTACTGCATGGGCCACCATAGCTGGAAAGAATTCTTTTTCCATGCTTCATACTTTGATGCAGGCTGATCCCTGACCCCAAAGGCAAAAGGTATATAACAGGTCTAGATTTAGAGAGGAAAGGGGTTAAAAACCAAAAAGCTTTTTTTTCCTTTTTTTAGCAAAGAGCTTTTTGAACATTAAGTTAGACAGGGTATGGAAGGCTCTAGAGTAGTTCTTAGCACATAGGAGGTGTGCAGTAAAAAAAATTTTTGAAAGCTGTAGATGGAACCCAGGGCCTCTAGCACACTAAGTATGTGCTCTGTCATGGGCAAACTCTTCAAATTTTTTAGCCGATTGAAGTGATGTACTTCTGTAATCCCAGCACATGGGCAGTAGGACTGTCTCAAATTTGAGGCCAGCTTGGGCAACACAGTGAGTTCAAGGCCAATCCTAACTACATACTGAGACCCTGTCTCGATTTTTTTTTTTTTAACAAGAGGTTAGAGTCCACAGAAGACTAAGCTAGATAGATCATAAGTTCAAGGCTAGTCTGGACAATTTAGTCAGTCCCTGTCTCAAGAAAAAAAGAAATTGAAAGGGAAAGAAATAAAGAAAAGAGTGGTTAGATTCTTTTTTTAAAACAATTATTTGAAACAGGTCTTACTACGTAGTCCAGCATGGGCTTGAACTCACTCTGTGGCCCAGGGTGCCCCAACAGTCCCCCTGCCTCAGCCTCTCCAATATTGGGATTACAGGCATGAGCCACCATGCCTGACTAGATTCCATAATTTTTTTTAAAACAGAGTTTCAGAATTCCAAAGCCAAGAGATGTGTTCAAAATCCCACCTTAGCTGAGGACTTAGCTCAGTGGCATAAGCACCTGCCTTGTAAGCAGGCAGTCGTGAGTTTGATTCCCCAGTACCGCTAAAAATGAAAAAGACAAAAAACAAAACAAAACAAAACAAAACAAAAAAAAACCCCACCTTTATCCTTTGCTGTGTATCTCTTTTTTTTCATCCTGGGGATTGAACTCACAACCTTCTGCTTGCAAAGTAGGCACTTACACTGCTGAGCTAAATCCTCAGCCACTATCCTTTGCTGTGTAAATGACAAAGAGACTCACAAACTGGTGGTCAGAGGCAGAACCAGGGTTTGAGTTCCTGAACCAGTGTTGCTCCATGCCTGTTAGAGCTCAAAATATCAGGGAAACTTCTCCCCTGTCAGATAGGAAGTGACTGCTGAAGGACCACATAAAAACACAGCCACCAGGCTGGGGATTTAGCTCAGCGGCATAAGCGCCTGCCTTGCAAGCAGGCAGTCGTGAGTTCCATCCCTGGTACCGATAAAAAGGAAAAAAGACAAAACAAAAAACAAAGAACACAACCACCCCCTTCCTTCTCCCATGTCACCATCCTACAGGTAGACAAGACCCCAGTTGTTCCTGTCATCCCTATAGTCTAGAGCGGCCATCTGTGGCCAGGGCACCCTGTGTGGCAAGGCCCAGGGATGTGACCACTGCTGACTTCCCCCTTAAATACCGTTCTCTAGCTAGAGAGAAATTTCACCAACGTGGGGCTGGTTCTCTAGATCTCACTGCAGAGGAATTTTGCCAGCCAGCCGGTAACCGTTGTTAGCCTGAAGCTGCCCGTAGTGGGACTACTTACAAGGCAGCACCCTCAAATGTTGTGAGTGGAGGAATCTTCTGCTTCTCTGGGCCAGTTTACCAGCATAACGTTGGCCTTATTTCTTCTTGTCTCCCAGCTGGACAGGGCACATTTCTTCCTAGTAAGTGCTCACTAAATCAGTGGTGTTTGTTGGGTTTGAGACAGGGTCTCTGTAGCCCAGACGAGCCTCAAACTCCATAGGTAGTCTAGGCCAGCCTTGAGCTTGAGATCCTTCTGCCTCAGCCTCCTCAGTAGCTGGGATTATAGGTACCATCATGCCTGGTTTAAATACCATTAAGAATAACTGAAGCAGGACCAGGTGCTTTACGTCTATAGAGACAGGAGAATTCCTTGTGCTGGGGAGTTTGAGACCAGCCTGGACAATATAGCAAGACCCTATCTTTCTTCTTCTTCTTTCCTTCCTTTCTTCCTCCCATCTCTTCCTGCCTCCCTCTTTTTCCCTCCCTCCTCCCTCCTTCTCTCTCTCTCTCTCTCTCTCTCTCTCTCTCTCTCTCTCTCTTTCCTGGGAATTAAACCCAGGGCCTCTCACATGCTAGGCAAGTACTCTACTGCTGAGTTATACCCTACTCAAGGATAATCACTCTTTTTTCAGTTGTGGAATTGAACCCAGGGCCTTCACACTAAGCTATCTCACTGAGCCCTTTTTTATTTTTTGAGAGAGGGTTGTGCTAAATCCCTGATTTTTCTAGGCTGGGCTTGACTTTGTGATCCTTCTGCCTCAGTCTCCCAGAACCATGGGATTACCTGCATTTGTCACAAGGCCTGCTCGCATTATTTTGTTATTATTATTATTTTGGTGCTGGGAACCTACCAAGGACTTTTGACACAGTCTCTGATTTAATCTTCCAAACAGCCCCAGGACATAAGAGCTTCATTGTTCCCACTTCTCAGATGAGAAAATTGAAGCTCCACAGGCTGAGTGCAGAAACTTACTCAAGGCTCATCGGAGTTCAGGACCAAGTCTTCCACTGCTGGACAGCTGACCCCCAGTCTCCAGGAAACACTAGCCTGTGCTGGGCCTGCTGGTCACCAGGCCAGCTCAACGGTCCCCTCTGGGGTAATAGCCGTGACTAAAGCCAGGGCCAGGAACTCACCGTTGTCACTACCGCTGTCACCTTGCCTCTGTTTCTTACCATCCTTCTTTTCAGTGTCTCCTTTTCTGTACGCGGGCCCTTTCCTCTACAAGCCCTGGGACCTAACCTCCTCTCATCCTGGAAATCCTTTTTGGTTTTCAGCCTCTCCCCAGGAGCTGCAGAGGATGAGTAACCAACCCACCCTCCTCTAGCTGCAGAGGCCTGAGCTTGCGCAACCGCGCGCCTTCGCCTTCGGGACAGACGCGGGCTTGTCTGCTGGCTCTGTTCCCTCTATGACTGGCTCTCAATCTGGTCAGTGGGTGGGCTCCAGGGTGGAAGCGCCCCAAGGGCAGGACCCAGGCTTCTCTGGCTGCTCCAGCCCTGCGGAGCGTTTTGCGTGGGCGAGCATGGCATGGATATGGCTGTGACGAGTCACGTTCTGGGGTTTCCCAATCCTGCAGCGTGTGGCCCAGGTTCTTGCTCCGTGAACACTTCCTCTTAGCGCAGTACACTGGCTCCGCCTATGTTTTCTGACAGTATCACTTGCAGGCCTGAAGAACTATCAGCGTGGCTTGGGTCTCAAGGTCAGTAAATATGTCTCCGTCATTCACCCTGGAGTGCTCTGCCTCCTGAAGGCCAAGGGGACCTGTCACCCCCAAACTTACAAGACAATCACTGGTTTTATTTTACAGGAACTTCTCTTCTAGGACTTCTGTTTCTCTCTCTTCCTCTTTCTTTTTTTTCACTGTACTCTGACTTCTTTTAATGGGCATATTTTCAGAGAGCTCATGTTTTATTTTACAAACATTGCACCTCTTTGAACATTTTTCTCTGCTAAGTTCTAGTTCTAGATTCCCTCTGGGGGCAGCTCAGTCAGTGGCAGGGCACTTGTCTAGCATGCAAGAGGCCCTGGATTTCATCTACATGGTTATGAAAAATAAATGAATGACTAGAACAACAAAAATTTACCAATGGTGTATGTCTTAATTCCAGCATCTGGGAAGCTAAGGCGGGAGGATCTTTGTGAATCCGAGACCAGCTTGAGCTACACATGACTTTAGAGCCAGCGAGACCGTGTCTCAAAAAAGCAAATACTAAATTAAATTCACTCTGTGACCGGGATTTACAGATGAGCGAATGAGAACAGGTCCATCCTCACAGTCCACCGCCTGGTGGCCCGTGGGAGAGCAGTCAGGCTTTGCTCAGGGCACTCACAGGCTGTCCTCGCCCATCTCTGAGTGTGGGAGGATCTGCTCTGCTGCCACCTTGGAGTTCAGGGAAGTCACGTGACTTCTGAACACTGACCCTCGGGCAGAGACCCATTACTTCCAGGCTGCAAGCCGAATTGTTGACACTCAGCTCTGCGGCCCTCTCAGATGTTGCAAAGGGCTGGATTGAAAGTAGTCTTTGAAAGGGTTGCTGGCCCAGACCGGACGTTATAGCCAGAAAAAGCCTCAGCTGGAATTAGGGAGCTCCTGCCTCCCCCGCCCCTAGAGATTTACCTGTAACCCTATACCCCCCACCCCTAAAAACCTGTCCCTGGCGCCAAACGTGTGCCAATGAAATACCTGTGCATCCCTAATACCCTTTAGGGTCCACCCCAGACCGAGGCTACTTATGTGCCTCACTCCACGTATTCCAGGGAGAGATCGCTGGCCCCTGGGTGGAGATGATGCACCCCAGGGGGCCAGGGGTGTCTCTCCCCACATTCCCAAAATAAAGGTTACTTATATTTTATACTTATCTTTTCAGCCACCGCCGGCCAGTCCTTCCCCTCTTCCTACCCCTTCTCAGACCTATCAGTCTTCACTTTGTGGTCTGTAGTGCAACGGCTCAGCGCTACTCCAGCACAAAGGAGGTTCAGGGCGACGCACAAACAAGTTCGCATACCCCTGTTTCAGAGGACTCTTATTTACAAAAACAAACCCGACGGCCATAGTTTCCAACTTGGACCTACTAGACAGTAAGATTCCCACAATGGATGAGCAGATGGCAAGGTTTCTGTGTTTGTTTTTTCCTAGTACTGTACCAGGGATTGAACCCCAGGGCCTTCACTCCAAGCCACATCTTCATCCCTCTTTATTTTTAATTTTTGAGACAGGATCTCACTAAGTTGCCCAGGCTGGGCTGAAATGTACAACCTTCCTGCCTCAGCCTCCCAGAATGCTAGAATTACAGGTGTACACCACCTCGCCAGATGTAAGATTATATGAATCCAACCTAGCTTAGCCAGGGCCCGGGGTTTAGTTTAGCTCATTGGCAAAAGTGCCCGCCAGGCAAGGTCAAGGTCATGAGTGTAATTCCAGGTACCAAAAAACCAACCTAGCTTAGCCTAACCGGGCTTGACAACACATGCCATTTTTCCGTAGAAAGGAAATGATGCCGTCCTTCCCTGAACAGGTCCCCTCCAAGCCTTGCCTGTCTGAGCTCAGTGCAGCTCATTCCGCTGTCTCCTGTCTCTCGGTACATGCTCACTAAGTGGATTTGGTTGGCGCTTGCTTTGGTTTGCACCATTCGCTCTTCCAAAAATTCCTTTTCATCTCTGTTTGATGTATCTGCATCCTTCTCAGCTTAGGTTTTCCAGGTACTGAAGCGCCTTCTCCCTCTATCTCCTTAAAACCTATGCTTGCTAGTTTGAATAAGCATTGCTGAAGGAGTAAGAAAAAGAAGAAAAGTCAGCTTTTTATCCGCGTTAGTTAAGAGATGTCTGTGCAATCCCCCAGCATGAAGAGGGAGCGTCAGGCACTGCCAGAGACCAGCACACTCACAGTACCTTCAAAGTGCTGGTCTCAGACTGCTTAAGACCTCTGCTGGATACACGGGTGACTATTAGTCTTTCAACTGAATACAGACAAGGGGTGATTGAAAAACAGTGAATGTTTACATTTTTAAAAAATACAGTAAACAACATGGCCACTCACCGCCCTCAAAATACTCGCCTTTGATTCGAACACATCCTGTCATTCTTTCCCTTTCTGAAACAGTTCTAGAAGTCGTCTTTCATGAATGCCTTTATGAGATGTGATCAAAAAATACGGTGACTGCTGTGCTGCCCACTGAGACAGCTTATAAAAAGCAGGACAGTGTGTCCTCAGCTACCTTCCTCGCCAGGTCCCGCATCACACAACTTCCAGCTCTTTCCCAAAGTCAAAATGACCATGAAATTGGGCTGGGGATTTAGCTCAGCGGCATAAGTGCCTGCCTTGTAAGCAGGCAGTCGTGAGTTTGATCCCTGGTACCGATAAAAAGGAAAAAGACAAAAAAAAAAAAAAAAAAAATGACCATGAAATAGCAGAATTTTGAATCTCTTCAGGCTGTCCAGATGGCCACAGCAGTACAGTGAAAAACATGAATGAAGACTTCCAGAACTTGTTCTGACAGCGGCGAGCACATGGGATAAGTGTGTTGGAAGAAAAGAGGACTCTTTTTGAAGGAGATGATTGGCAATGGGTTTTTTACTGTAATAAATTTAAAAAATGTAAACATACACCATAGTTTTTCAGTCATGCCCTGTAAACTGCACAAGCGCTATTTTTTTGGTCTTTTGAGACAGGTCTTGCTATGCGATTCAGGCTGACCTTGAGCTCACTTTCTAGCCCAGGCTGGTCTCAAACTCATAACGATCCCTCTGCCTCAGGCTTCCAAACACTGGGATTAAGGAGTGAGCCACCGAGCCTCCTTTTCATCTGGCTCTACACAAGCACTTTTGGTTTGTGATTATTTTTCAAATTTTAAAAAGGCAGATGGGAGGGTTGTCACTGTACCAGATCTCCTGTGATTTGGACATAAGGGCCAGGCTGGGGATTTAGCTCAGCAATATAAGCGTCTGCCTGGCAAGCAGGAGGTTGTGAGTTCGATCCCCAGTACCAAAAACAAACAAATAGACACAAGGGCCAGCCTAGACTGGTCCAGCTCTCAGTCTACTGATTCATGTTCCACCCAGAGAAAGTAGCTGGAAGTCCTGAGACTCAAGCAGACTTTCAAGGGGCCTGAGAAGGAGGCGTCTCTTTAGAAGGCTGTCGCTTGACTCTGCCTTTATCTTTCCCTCCTGTGTCTGGCCAAGAGTCCCTTTGAAAGGACTGCCAGGTCACTTACCACAGGGCACGCCTAGCAACCACAAGTGGAGCCACTTTATCACGCTCGGCAGGCATGGACAGAGTGTACAGGCCAGAACACTGCTTTTGGGAAATGCCTAAGGTGTGCTGGGAGTGGCATGGCCTTTGTCCCTTGGGAAACATATGACATTTTGTGTGAACTGTAATCTGGTGTAAACCAGCATGAATTCGTCACTGATGCCCCTCCTGCAACACCGCCAGGAAGCTTTCGTATCTTGCTGGCACCATCTGGGGAAGACCTAGAGGACCTCAGGTGGGCAGGGGTCTGAAGATGGGCTGGGATCTGTCTGAGCAGCTCCTTTGGATCCAGTCTCAGCTCCATGCTGACAGATTTGGGCAAACTCTTAACCTTCTCACTATCCTTCCTCACTTTCATGCCTGCTAAGTGAGGACATGTGATCCAACTGAGAAATTCAGGACAAGGACAGAACAGCAAAAATGAGGCCGTGTTAAAGAAATGAAAGAACACAATAGCTTTAGAAGTCCACAAGAAGAGAGCAGCCAAACGTATTGTAATTCCAGTTACTTGGGAGGCTGAGGCAGGAAGATTAAAAGCTACAAGCCAGGCTAGGCAACTTAGCAAGGCTCTATCTCAAAATTTAAAAAAGTAAATAAAAAATGGCATGGATATAGCTTAGTATTAGAGCATCCTTGGGTTTGATTAAGAAAAAAAAAAATAGAAGCTGGGCATGGTAACGCATGCATGTAATTTCAGCACTCTGGGAGGCTGAGGCAGAATTATCCTAAGTTTGAGACCAGACTGGGCTACTTAGTGATTTAGTATGGCTCTGTCTCAAAAGAAAAAAAAAAAAGTAGAAATCAAATGCATAGCACAGAAGGTGCTTAGCAAAGTCAGTTCTCCAGCTCTCCCCGATCATTACCCAAGATATCTGGCACTCCCTCAAATCAAGTTACATCTCCGAAGTGGAAATCCGGAGTCCTGACAGCTCTCGTTTGAAAGGAGCCCCGCTAAGGTGACAGTTACGCCATGAAGGCAGGCCGTGTGATGTACAGCTGCTGCTTCAGTCCCCCACTCCTTACACTACGATTTTGTTTAGAGAAACTCCTCCTGGCCCTGGCCCTTCACAACCTCCCTGGTGGAATGGGACTCCTGAAGGCTGGGAGTATGGATACAAGTTAGCAGATAGGAAAACTCTCCCAGAGGCACCTGGTATACAGGAAATGCTTGGCCAGTGGCAGCTGCATGCTTTGGTCCAGGGATTGTGCCTGCTTTGTAACTGACCCAGTGATTTCTGTCCCCAGCTCCCTTGTGATCTGGGTGCTGGGAAATACTGGCTAAGTTTGTTTCTTATCTGGTTGCTGTATCACGGTTCTGTCGCAGTGACTGTGGATCCAAAGAGGATTTTGCTCCTTCCAAGTCTACTACTATGTTTTATTTGTTATGAATGAACATGTTCTTATTGCTTTGTTTTACCTTTTGCACATTGTCCTCTCAGATTAAAATAATAACACCTTCCGTTAATAATACCTTGTACTTGGGGAGTTGCTTTCATCCTGGCAGCTCAAAGCTCCTGCAAACATGACCTCATTTATTCTCCCTGCTCCCAGGCGGGGGTGGGGGGTACCCTCTTAGCCTTCTGGCTCATTCATCTTCAACCAGATTTTCAGATTCTTAGGAGCCAAGGTATTGATTAAGTATGTCCACCTCTAGGACACAAATCACAGGCAGAGTGCTGAGGCCCTCCCTCCCTCCTCCTGGGCTGACCTTATGCACACAGAAGATAATCAGAACCCTGGCCCCACTAGCTCGGAGCCACAGCTGCTGAGCCTGATCCAGGTGCCCACAGCCATGTCTTGCAAATGGTAAATTTTAAATAAACCTCGAGGATAAAACATCTTGATGTCCAGGAAATAACAGGTTCGGTAATTTGGGTCCTTGCCTTCCATGAGCGCTTAATGAAGAACAGAGAGCTATCAGGTATGTTCTTCAACAGCCAGCACCAGGGTAGGCCCTGTTATTCACAGCCTGGGCATTTCTGACACCTGTATGTACTTGTGAAAACCTGCAGCCCCATGGTGGCAGTACTTCCTTGTTCTGGGGCTGCTTATGGCTGAACTACCCGGTAGTGTAAGCTGCTGGCTGGTTGCTTTAGTTTTCACCTTGCAATTAAGTTTTGGAACCATAGGGTTGGCCTTCTAACCTGGAATTTTGTATCTCTGGACTCAGTCAATCTTGGACTGCAAATATTCAAGATAAGAATGCGTCTGTACTGAACAGACTTTTTCTGTTGTCATTACTTCCTGAACAATACAGTACAACTACTGCTTACAGAGCATTTATACTGTTGTATTATAAACAGCCTACAGTTGGGAGAATGTAGGTAGGTTCTATGCAAAAACTGCACAACTTTACATATGGGCTTTGAATGTTCACAGAGTTTGGTGTCTTTGTGGGGTCATGGAACAAATTTCCTGTGGATCCTGAGGAACAACTATAATTGAATCTCCAGCCACATTCATGATCTCAGTCGTGAACACTCTGGGGTGTCAAATGGGCAGCTGCAGGACTACAATCCCTTCAAAATAAACCAGAAGACAAACTAACTGGGATTAGCTCATTTCAGTGCCCAAGGCTGTTTTTTCCCTCTTCTCTTCTTTTTTGCAGATGATTAAATTCAGAGCCTGTACATTGAGCTCCATTCCAGCCCTTTTTATTGTATTTCATTTTGTATTTTGAGACATGATTTCATTAAATTGCTAAATTTCCCAGGCGGGGTTCCAACTTGACTCTTCTTGTCTCAGCCTCCCAGAGAACTGGTATTATAGGATTATGCCAATGTGCCCATTTTGCTGGGGGCATGTGCTCTGCTGCTAAACTAAACTCCCAGCAGTGTTTGGCATCACAATGTAAACACTGGTTGTGCCAGGTGTGGTGGCACACAGCTAAGAACTTGTTCCTGGATTCTTCTTTCTGTCATACCAAAATTCGCCAATGCTTATCTCGACTATAGAATGGTATAATATTTGCCTATAATCTAGGCACATCCTCCCATGTTCTTTGTGTTGTTGTTGGTGGTGGTTTTTTTGAGACAGAGTCTCATTAGGTAGTGCAGGCTGGCCTTGAACTCACACGATTTGATCCTCTTGCCTTAGCCACCAGAGTGCTGGGATTACAGATCTCTGCCACCACACCCAGCTAAGATGATTTTCTAAAAGATGCTTCAGTTAGTTGAAGCTTCAATTAGTTCAACCAATTTAAAAGAAAAAAATTCACCTTAGAAATTAGTCACTTAAGAAAGTGAGTTTTCTCCTTGCCATTATTTTATGGCACATTAATATTGGTTTACATTCTCTGTCCTTGGGGTGGGTGAGTAGTGATTAAAAGGGAACAGGAAGTGTGGGAAATGTTCTGGTTTTTTGCTTTTGCGGTACTGGGGATTAAACACAGGACCTTCACATAGAGCTACATCCCCAGGCCTTTTAAAATTTTTAATTTTGAGACTGTAAATTCAGTCTTTTCTACTTACAGGGTCTTGCTAAGTCTATATTTGCAGACTGAGCTTGAATTTGGAATCCTCCTGCCACAGCCTCCTAGAGTGTTCCTATTACCAGTGTGGGCTGTGGAAGAACGCTGCTCATTTTTGAAGCCTTGCAGGCCGTAGCTGAAGAGACACAGCTTTCCTGATTATGATTTCCTTTTAACCTCTTCCTCTTTCCTCCCCTCCCCCGCCCCCGCGCTAGTGATTGAACCAGGATCTCCTACTGTATGCTGCAGCTCAGTAGTTTAAATTTTAAAAAAAGGCTGTTTGAAAGTTATTTTTAAAATTAAATACTTTTGAGACTCGCGCAGCTGCAAAGGTTCTGTGTTTTGATCATTCTGTTTCTTGAGATGATCACATCTTTTAGAGGAAATGAGTCAAAGCCACTCTGTCTTGCTTTTCCAGCTGAGCATGTTCAGTTTCAATGAAGTAATGAATGAATTTCGCCGCACTCCCCCTCCCCCCAGGCCTACAACAGCAAACAGAGAGGCCTCGGCCAATCAACAGGCAGTCCAGGTTTTCAAGTTGAGTTCAAACAGACCCACAGGAAGCCAATCAGCGAGTGTAGCCCCGCCCACGACTCTTAGTTGAGGCCAATCATAAGCCTCAAAGAGCCAAAACACAGCGACTGGCCAATGCGGGAGAAGCCCACTGAGCTGAGCTCCGCCAATGGGCGCGGCCCGGCGAAAAGAGAAACACTGCGGCCCGGGGGTGGGCCGCAGGATTCGAATCGAACGTCTGTGCGGGAGCCGGGCACTAGCGGAGCGGCGCGAGGGCCAATCAGCTGCGGCGGCACGCGGCCCCGGAACGTTGGGACACCCCGGCCCCGCCCCGCGCTGTTGTTGGTGGTGTCGGCCGGCCGGGCGGTGGGATCGGAACCACAACATTCGCCGTGCGGCGGAGGCCGAGCCCCGGATCTCCGCGGCCGGCGCTGCGGGGACCTGGCGTCGCGCCATGTCGGTGAACACGGATGAGCTGCGGCACCAGGTTATGATCAACCAGTTCGTGCTGGCCGCCGGCTGTGCGGCCGACCAGGCGAAGCAGCTGCTGCAGGCGGCGCACTGGCAGTTCGAGGTGCGCGTGGGCCTGAACTCCGGGAAACCTGGGGGCCTGGGTGGGGGATCAGTGTCGGTCGGGGTCGCGGAGGCCGGCGGGGCGCTTCTTGCTCCCTCAGTCCGGCTGCGCTGACGCCGGTCTGCCACGTTTGTCCGCAGACCGCCTTGAGCACGTTTTTCCAAGAAACCAACATTCCCAACAGTCACCACCACCACCAGATGGTAAGTTCAGCAGGAGGGCGCGGACGGTACTCCCCAAGCCCCTTGCCCCGCGCCCCTCGACGGGCTTCGGGAAGCGGGCCTTCCCTGGCGGCCACACTCCCCGGAGCATAGTCCACCGAGAGACCGAGGGGGACAAGGGCCGGGCCGGGCCGCTGTCACCCCCGGCGGTGACAGCCATGTTGCCGGGGAGCGCCGCGCCGCTAATGTAAACAAAGAGCCAAAATGTCTTCCAGGAAAGAGCGCTCCCGGGCCGGCGCCGGCTGGTCCAACTTCGGGACACGCCTCCAGGCGGCTGGGTCTGGGCCGGAGGCCTGAGCCCCCCGCCCTCGCTGCTTCTCTCGGAGGGATTTGGGGAGGGGCTCCAGAGTTGGGGGGCGCGAGAAGGGAGAGATGACTTCAGGACAAACGGGAGACCAGAAGTGGGCTCGGATGGTGACCAGACTTCTGGGGAGCCCAGATGAAGACCCCAAGACAGGAGACAGACTTGAGGCCTTCGTGTGTTGGTGGGGAGCACCTCTTGCTATCCAGTGCGGCCCTTCCCCCTCCACACACGCACCTGCGCTGCAGGAAGCAGGGAAGGGATAAATCCACTCTGGCTCAGGAAGCTGGCTCTTCCCACAAATGTATACTGGCCCTTTTAAAGCCCAGGGGAAACGTACTCTGCACCGGGAGAACACACAGATATTGACCCAAGATAAGGCCAAGAATTTGCATTTAATCTCTGTTTAAAAGATGCACAATCCCGGAGAATTGAAGTGGCTCAAGGCTGTGTTTGTTTCCTTCTCTTTCCAACCTGGTTCCAGGCTGGAGTCTTTGCCCTGGGGGGGGGGGGCAACCCCTTTCTTGAGGCTCAGTACAAAGCTTCCCCACCCCAACCCCTAGTTACCTATTAGCCCCAGTGGGGGGGGGTCAGCTCCTGAACACGTTATTCCTCAGGGGGTTGCTGTGGTTATTTTGGCTTTTTTTTTTTTTTTTTTGTCTTTTTCATTTTTATCCATACCGGGGATCCACCACCTGCTTGCAAGGCGGGTACTTATGCCCTGAGCTAAATCCCCAGCCCCTATTTTGGCATTTTTAACACTTGAGTTTCTCTTCCATGGCTGCACATGGCCCATCTGCTGTGTCTTGGCTGTGGCTCCCCTTTTCCCTCTAGTCAAAGAGGACAGGTAGAGAGAAGTCTGCCTTGACTTTTGAAACCAGCTTTTCTTTTAGGGCTCATGGTCCATATGAATCTGACAGGAATGTCTTTTGGTTTATGAAGGAATAATGGTGCTGGCTGCAGGGTGGAGGTAGCTAAGGCCCGACTCATAGCAAGCCCAGGAGGAGTTCATCTCCAAGGGATACCACCACCCCAGCATCCAGCTTTGGAATTTTCTGAATCTCTGAACCTGGGAGCCCTGTTCCTCTGTCTCTTGTAGCCTGTCATGGTGGTTCACACCTATAATCCTAGCACTCAGGAGGCTGAGGCAGGAAGATTGTCACAAGTTCAAGGCCAGCCTGGGGCAGCCTGAAATAATACTGCAAGACCCTGTCTCAAAAAACCAAAACCAAAAAGAACACCCTCGAGGTATCTCCCTGCTAGTTTCGGCTGTTCTGAAAAACCAGGGCCTCCAGCACAGCCATGCTTCAGGTCAGGAACAGGGGTTTACAGGAAGAGCCAGGACTGGCAGCTACTTGGTTGTTTTATCGCTGTTTGCACATCCCTGCTGGGGAATTGAAATCCCCTTTGAAAGTTGCTCTCCAGCAGGAGGCTGGTTTTGTAACAGGCTTTACAATCAGCATAACTACTGATGACCCGCTACTGGGTGCTTCAGAATGGTGTCCGAGCTCCAAGTTGGCAGTTTTTTGGGACAAAATAAAGGAAAAAGTTAAATTAAAAAACACAGGAGCTGGGCTGGGGGTTTAGCTCAGTGGCATACGTGCCTGCTTTGCAGCCAGGCAGTCCTGGTTCAATCCCTAGTACCGATAAAAAAAAACACAGGAGCTGCCACAAAATGGCAATGCCAGAAGTGACCCAAGGCAGGAGTCACTGATAAATGCTTGGCCTGAGGATTGCTGTTGATTTCCAGTTGGAAGAGGCTTCCTGGATGATCAGGAAGGATCTGAGTGAGGGCGGTTCTGGGGTTGCAGGGTTCACTTGGCACGAGGAGGGTGCTGTGGAGAATCTGGTCTAAAGTTTTACTGAAGTAGACAGGAGCTCCAGAGAGGCTCAGGTGCTTGCCCAGACAGGCGGGCACAGGCCCTGCCAGCCAGCAGGCTGTGGGCTGTTGGAGGAGGCCACGCTTGCTTGGTGGACTGGGGAAGTCAGTCACGATGCTGTGAAGCAACTGTGCCCCCCCCCTCATTGTTTCCTGCTTGGGGAAGTCAGCCCTTTCAGAGGGCAGGCGGCAGAAAGGAGGAGGGAAGTGTCTGGGTGGGGCCAGGCCTTTGGCCTCTTCTGAGGGCCCCTGAGAAGACAATGGTCAGAACTCTCTAGGTGCTGATGTGGCTGTGGCCTGAGATCTAAGTGAAGTGGGGTCCTCCTCTCCAAAGAGCTCTCCTTCAAGGTCAAGTCCTAGAGTCGGGCCCACCCCAGCCCGGTGGCTGGAGGAGGGGCTGAGGTTGCTAAAATTAGGAGAAATTCAAAGAAGGGCTCCCAGGGCTTCTTGGGAGAGGAAGCAGCAGCTTTGTGGTAGGAAGCAGGGGGTGTGGGTCTTGTTCTCTGGGCAGCTTATTCCCTGCCCCTGGTGTGGGGCCCTCAGGACGGGGGTAGCAGAGGCTCTGGTTGGGCTGTTTGGACAGACAGCTGCTGGCTTGTGGGGCCAAGGGCAGGCCGCAGCCTGAGCTAGAGGCTCTAGACAGGGAGCCAAACACCTGCATGTCAGGCTGGGAGCTGCCTCTTAGCTTAGTGCATGCCGGGTGGGGCCTGGCAATAGGTAAAGGGCTTGGGTCTGTAGACAGGAGCCTGGCAGCTCAGTCTCCTCTACTTTCATCCTGCACTGGGTGCGTTTTCAGTCACAAGTTTGCCTCTGGGCCTCAGTTTCCTCATCTGTAACACGGAAAAAATACTTCTGGCCTCCTTTTGAGAAGATGGTGGAGGTGAGAGTTTGAGGCTTGGTGGCTGTGATGTCCTCAAAACCAAGGAGGTACAGCTTTTCCTTGGCTGTGCAGGAGGGAGACCCCACCCTGGGGACATCAGAGGCTAGGTGGTGCTTGTTGGGTTCCTCAGCCAGCTTGAGGGGTGCACTGACGGTGATGTCCTGAGCTACTCCTTGTCTTTTTATTTTAATGTAATGCCTTAGCTTCAGGTCAGAACTAACCATTCTGATACACCTTGGTGTCATTCCTAGCATCGTGCGTCACTTTTTGGCTTTGGTGGAGTTTATTCTGATCTTTCGTTTTTAAATAGTGAAAGGAGAGCGGTGTCTGTCTCAGTAAAGCCTCTGTGGGCTGAGAGATGGCAGTAGAGCAGTCCTGCAGCCTGGCAGGCAGCCCTCCCCACACCTGTGTTCTCTCCCTGCAGATGTGCACGCCCAGCAACACACCCGCCACACCTCCCAACTTTCCTGACGCGCTGGCCATGTTCTCCAAGCTTCGCACCTCCGAGGGTCTGCAGAGCAACAACAGCCCCATGCCTGCCGCAGCCTGCTCCCCCCCTGCAAACTTTGGCCCCTTCTGGGCCTCCTCCCCACCCAGCCACCCTGCGCCTTGGATGCCGCCCTCCTCCCCCACCTCCTTCCATCGCCTCCACTGCCCACAGCCCACGTGGCCCCCTGGAGCCCAGCAGGGGGGCACCCAGCAGAAAGCCATGGCAGCTGTGGATGGCCAGAGATGAGACTGGATGCTGCCAGGCCCTGGGCTGGAGCAAGGGGGGCTGTCCAGGGCTGTGGGGACACAGTGGGGAGCAGGGGGAGGGCGAGGGGTTTCCTGAAGACCGCACTGGAAGATTTTATAAAAGAATTTTTGTGGGTGGGGGCCAGTAAACTTCGTGGGCCACTTGGGTCCCTCAGGAGTTTTTCTTTGGGCAAGTTTTTTTCTCTTTTTAATATATAACTATAATATATATGGATGTATAAATATAACTAATGTATGTGAGAGCTGTACACCTCGGGTGCGGAGGGCAGAGGGCCTTGAGGGGCTGAAGGAAGCCCACCCCATGGTCCCTACCTGGGGCAGGAGGGTTCCATGGGGCCCTTACTGGCTTGCCCAGCCCTGTCACTGCTGTGCCCAGGCTTCTTCCCCTCTTGGTTGGTTATGTCCCCCGGTGGCTTTGTAGCTGCTTTCGCCTGTCTCTGGGTGAGCCTGGCTCAGCACTGCAGAGCTGGCTTGAGTCAAGGTCACACTGTCCAGTGGGGGACTTGAGCATCCCAGCCTCTCCCCTTGTGTTCAGGTTCAGAGGAAATGGGCCTGGGAGAGCTTGCCTTTGGGTTGAGTTCCTAAATCCGAATTTCATCTCACCAGGGTGAAATTTTAATTTAAAACTTAAAAGAGACTTTTCTAACTTCCCTGGTTTGTAGTTCTTTTATTTACCTTGGTAGGGAAAGCCAAATCTTTGGGAAACGGTCAGTGGGTGTTCCGGGTATGCTGGGGTTGGGGGAAGGGGAGGCAACTCCATCATCATTTGGCTGAAATTTGGTGCTATAGGTGGGGCTTGATGGGTCCCAACCCGGTTGGTGTTACCCTCTTGCCTTGTGACCCTTGTCGGTGAAGCCTGTAACAGCAGAGTCCCCAGCACTCGACTTTGTAAGCCGTTTTCATCAGCCATGGGTTGGCTGCTGTCCTGCCTGGTGCCCTTCCCTGACTGCTGCCCACAGCCCTTAGCGTCTCCCAGCTTGCTGGGCTCCGCATCCCCACCCTCAGCACCCCTCTGGCAGGTGTGTTGCTGCCTTTGGTACGGCCATGACCAGAGGCAGCCAAAGTGAGTGGCCACGTGGTGGGGACTTCCGGGACCCCTTCGAACACCAAAACTCCAGGCAGCCCTTTACTCCTGCCGTTCCGTCTCCCTCCCACTTCGGTGATGCTGTTGGGACACAGATCTGAGCTGGAGGAGAGCCCCAAAGTGAAGTGAAACCCAAGGGGCTCTGCATGGCGCCCCAGCTTGCTTCCGAGCCTTCTTGATCATCTCTTGCTGGGGCCCCCCCCTTGCCAGCAGAGCAGCACTGAAGCCTAGTGGCCTGTCTCCTGCATGTGACAAGGGCCGCACTTGGAAGCTGGGTTAGTCCTTTCGGTTTTGTTTCCTGATTGGAAACCCTGAGGCTCCTCCCAGCCTCACCCTGCTGCTTCCGACCTGTGCTTTTCTGAGCAGGGGAAGCCCCTGGCAGGCTTGTGGGAGGGCAGGCCCGCCTTGGGTCCCTGCAGGCTGCTGGGACCTGGGCCTGAGTCCCAGGTGCAGGGTAGTTAGGGCAGCCTGGCATGGAGTGGCCTAGCTCCTGGTTCTCTCGTGGGCAAAGGGGCAAGGCCTGGGCAAGAGGGGCCAACCTGCCCCTCCTTGCCAAGCCAGTGAATTTGGCTGCTAGGCTGGGGAAATTGAGCCGACCTTCTGACATTTCACTGCCACAGTGGAGCCCGGGTGAGAGAAACAGGAGACAAGGTGACGGGTTGGCCTCGCTCTGCCTCTTGCTTGCAGAGGACAGGGCAGTGGGCTAGGGGGCCACGCTGGGTGCTTACGATCTCACAGCTCCTCAGTCCAGGCCCAAGCACATGGTCACAGTGTATAGACCAGTGCCTGGGGGCCCTGCAGATTGGGGTGCTCCCTCAGGGGAAACACCCAGCTCTGCACACCCTCTAGCCAGGCCCACTTTCACCCACACTAAACCAAGGGTGAGAAACCTATTTCTGGGCAGTTTCCTGCTGCTCTTTCCTGTATGATTCTGTCACCTCCTCTCTCACCCACCACGGTGAGTCTCCTGCTGCAGACATCCCTTTCCCATGTGAGAAGGCGGGATGGGAACTGGGGGTGGGGGCAGCCCCTTTGTCCACTCTGGGCACCCTGTACCCTCTGAGATGATGACAGACTCGAGGCAGAAATACCTTGATAATTCAGGGCTTCCTGGGCCCAGGTGGGGCAGTTTTCTTTCTTGGGGTACCCCTAGAACACAGCCAGGGGTCTGAGCGTGGGACGCTTAGGTCAGTGGCAGGGCTGCTGGGGCTCAGCCCTGCAGTTTGCTGCCCCTGCTTACTGCTCTGTCCCTTAGCTGGCTAGACCTCGGGCACAAGGGGCATGGGGACAGCAGTGAGTTCTGCCCTCAGGTTTGGGGCTCATGAGGAGGTGGTGAGCGGGAGCCCCCTCTCCATCTTCCTAATCACTGGCAAAGGAGCTGGTGCTCTGAGCCCCCTGCCAGGGCCCTGAGGCATGAGGGCAGGGCAGCATCTCAAGCGGAAACCTCAGTAGCTATAGATTTTGCCTTGTGGCTGGTGGCACTGATTGGGGTTCCAGGCTGGGAAGTCAAGCAAAGCATCTCCAAGGTAACAGCAGGTACAGGACTTAATGGGTCCTTAAAATTAAAGTAAAATTTAAAATAATAATAATAATAAAGGGCCACAGATACAGCTCAATGCAGAAGTGCTTGGTTCAGTCCCAGGTAATGAAGAGACTAAAAGACTGAAAGCCCAACACTACCTTCCTTCCCAGACTTTATTTATAGCTCTGTTCATTAGCTGGGCCGGACCTTGGCCCCCTGGTGGGCTCCTCCAGGCCCTCCTCAGGAGACTTAGCCAATTTCATCTCCAGCCCCAAGGGGCTACCCCCCTGCACATCGTCCTCAGGGCAGGGTGGGTGGACCATGTCAGACTGCGCTAGACGGCCCTCCGAAGAGACAGGTCTGTCTTTGTGTTCCCTTGAAGAAACTGCAGGACAGGAGGTCCATGTTACTGCCCCTCGCTCCCAATGCTCGCAGGGACCTGAAGCCCAGGGAGGTGGGAGCTGCCTTCCTTTGGTTGGGTTGATGGACCAGGGCATACAGTGCAGTGCTTCCAAGCACCTGAGCAAACAGGCCTCCCCCAGAAAGAATCCTTGTGAGGGACAGAAGAGTAAGTGACTGTGCCTCCCATGGAGGCTGGTGGTGTTTCTGCTGCTAATACAGGGGACTCCAGGCAGCCCTGGCACAGACAGGCCCTGAGAGTTTTCCTAAGACTCCCAGGCTCCTCTCTGCTTCTGCATGTTAAGTGCCCTTGGAGTAGTCAGTGGGAGGCCCAGGAAATGAGGCAAAAACATCACTGAAACCTCTCCACAGTCCATTCCCCTTGGCCACCAGCGCTGACTGTGAGGCCAGGCACTGGCTTTGACTTCCAGCCAGCGCCGCCGCCGCCTCCTGGCCGGCCGTGCGGCCCTGTGCGAGGGCCTCAGCCTCTGCGTCAGTTTTCTCCACTGTATCTGGGGCTTACAGTGGTCCTTATCTCTCGACATGGAGAGGATTGAAACTGGTTTATCTGCGTGCTGTAGCCACAGCTTTCTCACTGGATGTGAGGACAAAGATGCCACAAGCACAGTGGGCTCTGGCTCTTAACCAGCACGCCCGGGGATCCGAGCCTCCTGCACGGGTGTGCAAGGTGCATGTTGCCTGGGCGGAGGGTCTGCACCTGTGTTGGGTTCTCCCTGCTGCCCTGACTCTGAGAGGCACCAGTCCTGCACCTTCTTGATGACAGCTGAGGACACTGGGGGCTGCAGAGGGGACACTTGCCAAGTCACCTGGTAATGATCAGGCCTCAGCCCTTGTGTGGTCAATGCCTGTTGCCTTTAGATCCCTGACCTCCAGCATGACCTAGCCTCAGGGGACACAAGGTACTCTAGGGGCTTGCTGGGCTTGGGGTGGGGAGGGATTCTTCCAGGACAGGCTCGGAATGAGGGGTCGCCAGGACCTGGCAAAGTCTCATGCCCATAGCACCCTAGGAGTGTACAGGTGTGAGCAGGGAAGGGCTTGATCCTCTTGAGTGACATGGGTCAGCAGCAGTAGCTACCTGCTACTTAGTAGGTGAATCTTCCCTGTTGCCCCCTGTCTTGTCCTCTGGCTCCAAAAGCCTAAGTGTGGGCTGGAAAGGGGACTGCGAGGCAGGAAGGAGAGGCCTAGGCACAGTGCCCAGGCTGCACAGAGGGCCACTCCACCCAGAAGGAAGCTACCTGAGTTGTTGCCAGCTGACGTCCGAGCGCTCTGAGGCCGAGAGGGCAGCTGGCTGGCGTCCTTCAGGGACTGCTGCCTGTGCCGGTGGGGCTGAGACTGCTTGGGCTTGTATTTTGTTATCCCTAAAGCAAGGACACCAGAGGGCAGGGGCAGGAGCAGGGGCAGTTATGAGACCCCAAGGGATAGGCAGAGCGAGACAGGGCTACCAGTCTGAATTGGTAGGTTTGCCCATCTGAGCCCTTCATTCACTCACGTGCCTATCTACCCCCCATCTGCCATCTGTCCCCCTGTCCCCCCACTCAGGTTCTCTGAGCACCATATGCATCAGCTGTAGGCCACGTGCTGGGGGAGCTTTGATCCCCGGGTTACCCGCCCAGGACTGGGGGCAACAGGGAAGCTTTGTGCAAGGCTGTGAGGCATGATGGGAAGTAATAAGCAGCATGCAGGCTTCAGGAATGAATGGGGACCTAGAAGTGGGATTGGGGCACAGGGATCAAGGGGTGGGGGCTCAGGAAATGGCGTTTTGCTGAGTTTTGAAGAAGCGTCCATAGAACTGGGCTGTGATGATGCTGGGAGCCAAGGCCAAGGTGGGAACGCCTGGCAGTAGTGGCTGGAGGGTGAAGGCTGGCAGGAAAAGATGTGGCTGCCACATGCCAAGTGATTAACTGAGGCTGCGCAGCTGTCCTGTCCCTAAAAATGCTTAAAACCTGGCGGCTTCTGGAGACATGAACATTTCAGGGCAAGGCATAGAGAAAGAAGGGCTGAAGACATGGATGTATCTGGGAACCCACAGGAGACTCTGAAAGGCCTCTGGGCTACCTGGATACTCACTGTCTTTGACCAGGATGCCTGGCAGCCTTGTATCCATCCGTCCCTTGTAAATATGTCCATCCAGGCCCAGGATATCCACCTCGTCATGCTGTAGAGGTGACACACACATCCATTACCATGACAGTGTCCAGCATCTACCCTCTGATCCTGTCTCCAGGACATCCCGTCTCCTACTCCCAGCACCAAACGGCACTCAGGACCCTCCTCCCAGGGCACCCGGGGCTACAGAAAGGCAGACAGCAAGGTGAAAGGCATGTGTGTGTCACTCAGAGCTCTGGTGGTAGGAGGCAGTGTGCCTGCTGGGCGGGCGCTGGGATTTCTTTTCTTCCCAAGAAAGAATGAGGGATTTTCTCAGCCTGAGGAAGGCTGAGAAACTGCTCAAGGCGGAGGGGCTGGCTTAGGTGACATCTGCAGACTGATGTGGCCTCTGGGGCATGTGGGGGCTTCCTGCCTGACCTTCATGGCGATCTGGATCTCTTCGGGGGCACACAAGCCCTGGGGCAGGTGCTGTGGGCGGTTGCGGCGATAGGGGTAGGTGAGAGTGTGGCTGCCCCCGCAGTGCCGGGCCATGGTTGAGTAGGTGTAACCCACAGAGTCAGGCACCCTGGGAAGCAGACGGCGTGGGGTCACCCAGATGGAAGTGGGTGGTTCTCTTCAAAGGTCTCCAGGAGTCAGGGCCAGGGGACCTGGAGGGCGTGTGTGTGAGTGAGTGAGTGAGCAGCGTAACCTCAAGGGTGCCATCCTGAGACCCCGCACACACACACTCACATGCACACCGTGCACATGCATATGGGCATGGCATTCACTCATGGCTGTAGGCATGTGGGAACCAAGCTCGGGCAGCAGAAAGCTGCACACCCCGGCCCCTGTCCCTCACCGCCTATAGCAGGGAGAGCCGAGGCAGTGGGCATGCAGCAGCTCGTGGATCATCTGGCTGCTGGCCTTCACCGAGCCCCCGAAGTGGATCTGCACCTTTTCAATGTCCAGCAGCATCTTGGAGTGCATGCTGCGCAGGCGGCCCACACTCCGCTCCATCACCGACTGGTCGCCCCGGGGGAAGGTGCCGCCCACCTTGAGGCTGTGTGTGGGTCCAGGGCACAGAAAGGGAGGCCAGTCAGGTGTCACACGGAACCTGAGGCTCTCTGCTCCCTTACCTGGTGTAAGGGCTCCCTCTGGCTCTGGGCCCTTATTCGGGGCTCTGTGTGGGGTGTGGGCGAAGCCAGTATGAGCCAGGTTAGAAGTCCTGGGCTGCTGATCTAAGGCTGGGAGCACAGGAAGCTCAGCCCCACAGCAAGAGCCCTCCCCAGGGTCTCTCATGGATCTGACTTGCCAGGGAAAGTTTTTCTGAGGAGCCAAAGTACACATAAGTCAAATGCAGAGAACACAGCTGGTCTGGTGACAGCAGGAAGTGGAGGAGCTTCATGTCATCACACACCTAGCCCCATGCCACATCGCACACCTGGGGTTCTAAAGAGCCACCCTTTCTACTGTGAACCACAGACCAGAGGAGGGCAGGGGCCAGAAGGAGCCCGAGGTGTGTCACTACCAGCCTGCTCATGGAACCCACCTCTGGCTGAGCGATGCCCACACCTGCCCTTCAGGCCTAGGCTTGCTGAGACAGCTAAAAGATGCCAGCAGAGGTAAAAAGCCCAGGAGCTCTCAGAGGCGGCTGGGACCCTGGCACTGCCCACCAGGATTCGCAAAGGGGACCAAAAGGGCAGGTTATCACTCAGGTGCTTCTGATGCTGTCACCCTAGGAAGAGCTGGGGCTAATTTAAAAATCTATCTAGTGGCCCCACACTCCAGCTAGGGTGCCCCTCGGGCCACCTGTGCTCCACCCTCCCACCCACCTACAGCTTTGCCCATGATGCCACTGTCCCTTACTTGCGGCTCTGCTGGCGGACCTGCTCCAGCTCAAATACTGTGTAGGGGCGGATAGAACGGTGCCCAGGCAGGGCCTGACCCACAGGAGTCACAGGGATGCTTCTGGGCAGGGACAGAGAGAAGGGGAGGGTCAGAGTGTGAGGATTCTGGTCACCTAGTTCCATCCCACCCACTGTATGTTCCAAATGGGGAGAGATGAAGGGCCAGAGGTGAGACAGGTGGGGTGCACTGGGGAAGCGAGGCCCAGGTACTCACTGTCCAGTCACAGGAATCTCCAAAGCACGGTCACAGGAGAGGCAGTGGAAGTGAGCCAAGAGTTGCCTGCGGGGACACACACACAGAGGTGAGAGGCTGGAAGGCTGGCAGCTTGGGCTCCAAGTCCTGCGTCCTAGGAATTCACCTTCTCCTAGGCCTGAGCTGCCCAGGGTTCCCCGTCCCCAAAGGTGCCCTGGGTAGGCCTTGGGGGCCCCCAGGTGGCCAAGAATGGAAATTCTAGGTCTCAAGTCTATGGCAGGCCCGGTGTCCAGGAGCTGTCTCAGCACCAGGACTGGGGCCCCTCCCTTCCCAAGGCCCAGCGGTCCTTCTGCCTCCCTGCTTCCCTGCTCCACAGCCCTGTGAAGCGATCTGACCGACAAGTTCTTCCAGCTCTAACCTCTGTCTCCAGTCATAGGTCAGTCTGGGGGCAGTGCCAGCTATGCGCTGCCAGGAGCTGCTTGAGGGAGGGCCCTAGGCTCCTGCTGCCCTCCTAGCCCAGTGTGCCAACCTCCTGGGGTCCTCTGGTCTGGTCCTCACCTCCGCATGGCAGCTGCCTCATCTGCCTGGTAAAGGGGAGAGCGCTCCTTGAGCTGTTCCCGAAGTGACTTCCACCGATCCTCTAGCGCCTGTTTCACGGGGTCCAGCTCCATGCGGTCCAGCTGGGGGGCGGGCACAGGTGAGCACAAAGGTAGCAGGAGGGTCTGGCAACATCCTAGTAGTGGAGACTGGCCCCTCCAGCTGCAGCCTCTCCTGCCCTCACCTTCATGTCCATTGCTGCCAGGAGCTTGTCCAGCAGCTTTTGCCAGTCCTGCTCCTGCCCACTCATCTTGGCCATGAGCTCCTGCATCATGTGGTTCAGCTGCTCCGTGGTAGCATCAAACTGGACCCGGCTCACTTTGGATGCCAGGGCGCTCTTGTCGGCTTTCTGCTCGGAGGAGGAGCAGGAGGGCTCAGCTGGGAGACAGCCATGGCAGGGCCCTTTTCCCCAGGTGTCAACCAAGCTGCTGACAGGCTCCCAGGAGTCTATATCCATTCCACCTCCAGCTGCCACCCTCTCCCAGCCAGCCAGACCTCCAGGAAAGGGTGACGCGCAGCTGCCACTCACCACGTCGATCTCCATCTGCAGGTGCTCCCTGTTGGCCTTTTCCTTCTCAAGTTTTTCCAGGCCCTGGTACAGCACCTGGGGGCCACGCAAGCGACGAATGAAGAGCCCGCAGCTGTGCAGCGGGGGCGGTGTGGGGGCCGACCCCAGCCCCCCTCGGACCACTCACATCGATGTCTTTCTGCTTCTGCCGATGGTCCTCGATCAGGTTGCTGGTGGTGACGTTGAGCTTTTCGCAGTCGCCCTGCACCTGCAGGATGGCACTCTGCACGTGGCCTAGCAGCTCCTCGTCCTGCGACAACAAAGGGACAGGCGAGGAAGATACCATAAGGCTGCCAAAGTGACCACGAGGTGACCCTCTAGTGAGGTGTTCCTTAAAGTGCTACCGCACAGGAGAGCTCACTGCAGACCCCTGCCTCAGTGCCTCAGTGCCATTCTCAATTTCCCACTGATAGCTGTATCCGCCCTAGGATGGGAGTGCCAAAGCCTCCACATCCTTATGGACTGGCCTCGAGGGGCTGGGGGTGGTCAGTAAAGCAATCAAGGCTCAGGAGTGGCGTGTGGTTCCATGGCCCCTGCGAGCTGAGGTACAGGCACCTTCCCTGAGCTAGATCTGAATGCCCACGTCCAGGAAGTAGGACCCAAAGACTGTGGCTGTCCCCACCCACACTGGCAAGCCTGCTCTTTTTTTTTTTTTTTTTTTAATTTAAAGAGAAAAACAAAACTAAACGAAGCAAAACAGTAAAAGGCTACAAGTAATACAGAATTTCAAGAGAAAAAATATACAGTAAGAATTCACTAGTTTTTTTTTAATGTTCACCTTTTCTTATTAAGGAATTCACTAGTTAATAGATTACATATTGTCATCTCAGAAACAGTTGTCCAGATTACAAAATTAAAGCATAAAGTGGACATTAATACAGTGAGATTGCAGACAGTTCTGTTTAATGATCCAACAAAAACTCAGTAATATGGTTTTCTATCCTACACATTTAAATATACTTGCAGTTATATTCTTTAAATCACTTTCTTTCCTCTCTTTTTTACTCTAACAATCATACATTTTGATTTCCATTACTCCCACAGTTCTTATAACTTTTTCTTTGAAAAAACAGTGGTCAGATGCCACGAAGTAGGTGGCAATGCCTTAACCGTGTGTGTGTTGTCAGGCCCCAGGGCCTCTTCCATCCTTGTCAAGGGGAGTGCTAACCTTCTCTCTTTTCATACAACACAAGCCTCCTCTTTTCAGGAAGTCGGGAAGAAGTTAAGATTGATGTGAGCAGGTGAGTCCACGTTTCCTGCAACTGTGCCTGAGTCCTTTTGTCATGTGGCACCATTCCATCCAGCTACTGGGCCAACTCTTCCCAGTTTTCTGTGGCCAGAACTAGTTCTGTTGCTATCCTTGCTGTAGAAGGATTGGGGACTTCGTTTTGTTTTGTTTTTTGAGAAGGGTCTCATGTAGTTCACACTGGTCTTGAACTCACTTTGTAGCCAGGGTGGCCTTGAACTCCTAGCAATTCTCCTGCCTCAGCCTCTTGAGTGCTGAGAATACAGGTGTGCATCACAATGCCTGGCAAGGACCCAGGACTTTAGTGGGATCTGGCTAAAGGGTTCCATAAGAACAAACTGACCACAAACACCTCTCCCTGGGGAGTGCAGTCAACCACCACCTCCCACGGGGACCATGTCTGGCTGCCCCACGAGGGCAGAGTACAAGCCTACCTGACCCTGAAGCTTGGCCTTCTTAGAGGGCCGGGAGGCAGCCAGGTTGTTGACCATTTCCTGCAGCTGCTCGTAGCGCTGCACCAGTGTGCTGACCTGGTGGCTCAGGTCCAAGCTGCAGGCGGGGCAGGTGGCCTCAGGGTGAATCTGGCCAGGTGCCAGCATGCTCAAGGACTTCTGTGGGGTCATGCTGAGGGCCAGCAGAGTGGAGGAGGAGGTCAGCATGTTCTCGATGATGGTCCTGAGCTTGTCTAACTGTGAGCAGGAGAGACATGGAGGCAGGGCCATGGGTGGGTCCACGCCAGCCATAAACACTCACGGGCTCTGCTGGAGGGCTCTGCTGGGAATGTGAATGGTGGACTTGTACATGCTCTGTCCCACCAAGCATGCGCACAGCTAGGAATCCGACAAACACAAACACACTTCAGGGGTCTCTCCAAGCCTAAAGGATGCCAGCTTGTCCGTGTCCAGGGAGAAAGCTGCTCCGCCTGGTCCGCCTCTGCACCCACCTGGCCCGGTGTGCTGCTGACTCCGGAGCAGCCAGGGTGAACTGGCCAAGAAGCCCGGCTCAAAAACAGTACGGCCAGCCTACACCCACTCATCTTGGTACTGGGTAATGAAGCTGAAGTGGGGCACTGTGTGAGGTGGGCAGGCTGGCGGAGGGACTGCGAGGGTGTGGAAGAGGAGGACACGAGGGCACACAATGAGGCCGTGGGAAGACAGAAGGAGTGGCCGCAACCCGGGGTGGGCCCGAGGGTCAGCACTGCAAAAGGAGGGACGAAGAAGGAGAAAGAAAGGAAGCAGAGTAACTGGTATGTGCCAAAGCATGGCTGGACCTTCAAAACACTAAGTCGGATGCACAAGGCCACAGCTTGCAAGATTTTATCTCCTTCAAATAAATGTTCAGCATTTATGGCAGGGGCTGGGGCTGGCCTGTGTGTCTGGGGAGGGTGGGAGGGAGAGTGGCCACTGAGAGGCACCGGCCTTCTTTTCATGGGGATGAAATGTCTTAGAATTGGATCGTGGTGATGGTTACAGTTCCGTGAATGCACTGAAAACACCGTCAGCATTTTTAGAAGTGTAAGTTACAGAAGTTCTATAATGAAAACAGATTCTGTGGGAGATGCCCAGGCCTCGTTCTCCTGAACAGTCCCTTGCCCTTGCCCCAGTGGCCCCAGAGCCAGCTTGGCATCTGGAGGGCCTGAGTCTTAGTCACAGTCATCATCTCCCCACACACAGTCATGGAGGCTGGTCTCTGAGCGGAACCGGGTCTGCCTGCTCTCTACAGCCAACCCTCAGAGCCCGCACCTGATCCTGTAGGTACAGGGAGGCTTCCACCACTGAATTCTCCATTGCGGTCTTGCCCTGCTCCTGGCTGTTCCTCAGCTCAGCCAGCTCCTTCTCGATGTCAGCCACTGTGACTCTGTGACACGTAAAAGCCTGGCCTCACTGCCCGCCCAGAGGTCTAAGCTCGATGGTGCAGACCCCTGGCCGTGGCGGGTATAGGACAAGGGTAGGGCTCACTATCCCAGGCAGCCCTGTCCTGGGACTCCTGGGTCCTGCGCCTGTCCCGAAAGGGGTACCCAGTGTGCTGCCCTGAGGCTACTAGACAGTGGGTCAGGGCCCTGCACTGCATGGGCTCAAGCAGGTGGCTTGGTCTACCTCACACTGGGGACAGCGTGGGAGTGTCTTGCTCCTCTCAGTCTTCATTCAGGAGAACTTCTACCAGTTCCCTGAGTGAGATGTGGGAAACCCTCAGAGCAAGTGTGACCCAAGCCAAAGGCAGAGGTCAGTTCCGTGCATGAAGGAACCAAAGGTCGCCGCCACTACCAGCCTGAGGGGTTGTCCCCAGTCCGGCAGCTGCACAGGGTGGGCCTGATTACCTGAGGAGGCCCAGCTGCAGGCCCATTTGACCAGTCTTCAGCTCCTTCCCCATGACCTGGTCACCTTCGCACTCCAGGAGCTTTTGTATCTTATCCAGCTACAAGCCCAATGGAAGAAGAGGGTCAGGCAGGCCCGTGGCTCCACTCCCTGATGTGGCCTTGGAGCCCCATTGAGCCCCTCTCCCATTCTCTAAACATTCCCCAAGCTTCCCTGACAAGAATCCGGGTTCTTCTGAACATCCAGCCACCGTCTGTTTCATGTATGCAGAGAGCTAGCACTGAGGATGACTGAAGATCTCGCCCTCTGACCCCCAAGAGTCCCCACTGGGGGCCACTGCATATTCAACAGTACACCAACAGCTTTGGCTGTCCTTTTTTAGATCTAGGAAGTGGACATGGTGATTCCTCCTAACTGCATCGCCTCACTGATGGACGGCAAAGACCCAGTCACACAGCAGTGTGCGGCAAAGGACCATCATCTACCCAAGAGTGGACAGAAGGAACTCTGACTCACTCTGCAAGGCCCAGGAGCTGACCCTCCCTTACATACTTTAGCTTTATCCTGGCGAACATCTTTGGTCAGGGTCTTTAAGGTCTTCAGCTGCTCTTCCAGGTCAGGAGGTAAGGTCTTCTTGACTATGGAAAGTGGGTGCCTTATGGTCAGAAGGGTTAGAGTCTCATTTCTGGCAGTCAAGTGACCCCAGAGAACAGCAGGGTATATCATGTCATCCTGCTTCTCCTGGTGACTGGGACAAGAGGGGAACAGAACTGTCTTTTGCCTATGAAAACCCACCTACTGCTTGGTGTCCTAAAGGGTCTCGTGTCTGCTGACTCACCTGTCATTTCACCCTCACTAAACTCTCAGCTCTTCTCAGGGCTAGAGTAGTGGCGGGTGACAGATCCACTCCTCAGCGCTCTCTTCTGACTCCCTTCTCAGCGGCACTGTTTCCCTTCATCCTTTTGGGGCAGTTACTCTAACAAAGGCGAAACCTGTTCTGTTCCTCTCTTGGGGCTCTGGCAATCCTGCTGGTTTAGTTTCTGCCTTGTCTACCTGTTTACATAGACCCCGATGGCTGTGAGGGAGCCCAAAAGGTCTAAGAATGGACCCACCATTTGCAGGGGCTCAGGAAGGTGTCGGCAGCCAGGGGCTGAGAAGGACACCCTCCTCCCCCACCCCACTGAACCAGCGCTTGCTCCTACACAGCGGGTGGTACTCACCCAACAGCATGAACAGGTACTGTATCTTCTCCAAGTCCGTTTGGCCAGGTTTTTCCTCATCCAGCTCCCTCATCCTTTCCTTTAGTTCTACATAGAGGCTGATGATTTCTCCCATCAGACGAAACGTTTCCATAGCCACGGGGAAGTTAGGAGCCAGTTTCTCCACTGACTCACTCCGGGCTCCACTCCTGAGTTCACTTGCTTCAGATGAGACTTGGTGGACAAAGGTAAGAGAGTCTCGACTCCTGAAAGGGGTGGCATCTTGGCCTGGGCCAGTCTGAGCAGGAAAGGCAGGAATTCTGTTTGGATCCAAAAATACTTGGCCACGTGGATCAACACCCATGTAGCCTGGGCGACCATCACCCGGGTACGCTGGACCCTGCTGCTCCCCAACAGGATATGCATGACCAGGCTGAACTGTACCTGGGTACAAAGGGCCTTGCTGACCTCGGCCAACATGTACAGATCCTGTATCTGTACCTAGTGGTGCTGGGCTCTGCCGGTCCCTGCCAGGAGGCCTCAAACCTTGCTGATGGGCTTCCGGTGGCACCAAACTCTGTGTGTCTGTACGTGGTGATGACAAGCCTTGACTGGGTAGGAGTGGTGACCTGCGACCATACTGTTCTTGGCTGGGAGGTATCACATGGTGCTGATATGGGTAAAGTGAGCTCAGGCTCCTAGAATCGGCCAGGAATGTTGGGAAGCTATGCAACCCTGCGCCTGGTGCTGTCAAACCACGTTGATCCATTCCAGGTTGCACCAAACCACGTGGGTATGCACCAGGTTGAACCAAACCAGGCTGATAGGCACCAGGTGGCACCAAACCACGTGGATATACACCAGATTGGACCAAATCAGGAGGATATGTGCCAGGTCGAGTCATATAAGTACCAGGTTGAACCAAGCCATGAGGATCTGCTCCAGGCTGTAACAAAACATGCTGACCAATTCCAGGTGGCACCATCCCAAACTGAGCTGCACCAGATTGTGCCAAACCAGGCCAGTCAATACCAGGTTGGACCAAACCACGCTGATCCATTCCAGGCTGCACCAAACCACGTTGCTCTGTGCCAGGTTGTACTAAAGCACCCTGATCCATGCTGGGTTGCGCCAAAGCACCCTGATCTGTGTCAGGTTGCATCAAAGCATCCTGATCTGCGCCAGGTTGCACCAGACCATGTTGATCTGTAGCAAGTTGTGTCAAACCATGCTGATCCATTCCAGGTTGTACCATGCCAAATTGACCTATACCAGGCTGCACCAAACCACGCTGCACTGCACCAGGTTGCATCAAACCCAGCTGACCCACACCAGGCTGCATGAAACCCAGGTGACCTGCACCAGGCTGCACCAAACCACGCTGAACTGCACTGGGCTGCATCAGGCCGCGCTGAACTGCACCGGGTGGCATCAAACCCAACTGACCTGCACCAGGTGGCATGAAACCCAGCTGACCTGCACTGGGCTGCACCAAACCACGCTGATCTGCACCAGACTGCACCAAACCCAGCTGACCTGCACCAGGCGGCATCAAACCACGCTGACCCATGCCCGGTTGCACCAAGCCACGCTGAACTTCACTAGGTGGCACCAAATCATGCTGATCAGCACCAGGTTGCATTAAACCACGTTGCTGTACACCAGCTTGCACTGAACCCTGCTGATCCATTCCAGGTGGCACCAAGCCAGGCTGCACTGTACCAGGTGGTACCAAGCCATGCTGAACTGCACCGGGCTGCACCAAACCCAGATGACCTGCACCAGGTGGCATCAAACCCAGCTGATCTGCACTGGGCTGCGCCAAACCCAGCTGACCTGCACCAGCTTGCACTGAACCCTGCTGATCCATTCCAGGTTGCACCAAGCCAGGCTGCACTGCACCAGGTGATACTGAGCCATGCTGAACTGCACCAGGCTGTACCAAACCCAGATGATCTGCACCAGGTGGCATCAAACCCAGCTGATCTGCACTGGGCTGCACCAAACCCAGCTGACCTGCACCAGCTTGCACCAAACCCTGCTGATCCATTCCAGGTTGCACCAAGCCGGGTTGCACTGCACCAGGTGATACTGAACCACGCTGAACTGCACTGGGTTGCACCAGACCTTGTTGATCTGCACTGGGTTGTATCAAATCATGCTGGTCCATTCCAGGTTGCACAAAACCATGTTGGTCGGCTCTTGGCTGAACAAAACCATGTTGACCTGTAGGTTGAACCAATCTCTGTGAATCCACACCAGGCTGTGCCCAACCAGGTGGATATGCACCAGGCTGCACCCAAGCACCAGGAAATGCCCCAGGTTGCATGAGCTCATACGGACCCATTTCAGGGAGGATCAACCCATGTGGACCCGCATCACGCTGTGCTACATCAAGCTCATCTACACCAGGCTGCATCACACTCTGCTGAACTGGACCAGGCTGTATTAACCCACGCTGACCCATTCCAGATTGAGCCAAACTATCTTGATCTTTACCAGGTTGTACCAAACTGGATAGGTATTCACCAGGTTGCACCAAGCCACCCTGATCTGTGTCAGGTTGGGCCAAGCCAGGCTTATATGTACCAGGCTGCTCCAAAGCACTCTGATCTCTGTCTGGCTGAATCAAATCACGCTGCTCTGTGCTAGGTTGTATAAAGCCAGAAGCTTCCAAACTGGGCTGCACAAAGCCTTGTTGATCTGCACTGAATTGACTCAAACCAGGTGGTACCAAAGCTCGTCCATCTATCGGCATTAGAGGCAATCTATGTTGGTCTATGCCAGAAGGTACTCCTTGCTGGTCCCTGCCAGGTGGAGCCAGTCCTTGTTGATCCATGCCCAGTGTTACAAATCCATGCTGATCCATGCCAAGTGGTTCCAATCCCTGACCATCCATTTGAGGTGGTAGCATATGAAGCTGAGTTACACTGATGGGTACCACGCCAGGTGGTACAGTGCTAGGGTACTGTAAGCCAAGCTGATCCATGCTAGGTAGTCCTAATTCATGATCATCTAGCCTTAGGTAGACTTGGCCCTGGCTCATGGGCACCCCACCAGGCTGATCTGGATGCATATACTGATACTGATCTGTGGCCAAGGATAAGTCTTGTTGAGTGGGGCCGGTAGGTATCTCTCTTCTTGGATATGCTGGAGTAAACCGTTCTCTACTCCTGTGGTGATCTGACTCTGTTCTAAGTTGGGGTGTAGCAGGTTGATAGAGTCTTGACATGCTAGCTTCATCACGGGCCCTTGCGTTCTGTTCTCTACCAGGAACAAAGGAGCCTTTGCTCCATTCCCTGATAGGGACCCCTTCAGAGAGGCGGCCTGAGGCACTGGGTCCCGGTAAGGCCTGACTTGGTCCACCAGTGGAATCTGGAATGTGGCCAGTGCTCGCATGCTTGGTGGAGGGCCCACTTGGAACGAGGTCACTTACTGTTAAGGAAGACTGCACTTTGCGCTTAGAAAGTCCTAGTGCTGTTTCTGAACCCTGGGAGAATAAGAAGAAAGAAATCATGTTACAACAAGCCAAAAGCACCTTGAGAGTGGAAATGAAAAAGAGCTGAGATGTCTGATTAGGATTTAGGGCCCTTGAATAAAAACACTCTTTTCCTAAAAGTGAAGCTGGACATAAGGAAAAAACAAAAGACTGACTTTCTTGAATGTCTCCAGGCTTTGGAGAATCTGCACATCTGTAAATGCCATCATATGTGTAATTTCCTTCATAAAAGATGGGAAAAATGGAGCATGGTGGTGCACACCTGTAATCCCAGAATTTGGGAGGCTGAGGCAGGAGGAGTATTGCAAGTTCAACACCAGCCTGGCCTACAAAGTGAGCTCAAGGATGGCCTGGAAAAAGACCAAAAAAAAAAAAAAAAAAAAAGTCTGGGCTGAGGATATAGCTCAGTGGCACAGTGCCTGCCTGACAAGCATGAGGTCATAAGTTTGATTCCTGGTACAAAAAATAAATAGATAGATAGATAGTCTGCCCCACTGTTGACACATTGCAGATGGCGAGTAAACCAAAATATAAACAAGCATACTCGGATCAAGAAACCCTATAGATGGAAATTTTCTCTATGGACATTCATGAAAGGAGGCCAAGAAAACAAAGCTGGTGTCAGCAGCATTGCTTAGAAGAACAGATTTCCAAGAAGAGACTGGTGACCCAGCGTGGTGTCGCACACCTGTAATCCTAGCACTCAGGAAGCAGAGGCAGGAGAACTGCTGAGTTTACGTCAGCCTGGGCAACATAGTAAGTTCAAGGTCAGCCTGAACTACACTGCAAGAAGCCGCCTCAAGAGGGAGGACATGGACTGGTATATTTAAGATACAGAGGAATTCTATGGCTCCACTAAAAATGAATAATGGACTATTTCCATTTCTAGCCAAGATGAAATAACACAGCTCTTACCCTTCTGTCTATAACAACCAAAAAATCAAACCAAAACAAAACAAAGACATAGACAAACAATTATAAAACAGCAGCTTTCTACACCCTGGGTATCAGGCAATAAAGGCTAGACATTCCCGAGAGGCTGGTGAGACACACTGTATGAGCCTTTCTATTTCCTCACTTACTGTCTCAGTGCGGTCACCAGCTGCTGCGCAGGGAGGGCAAAGGGGGGCAGAGCCCAGCAGTCACCCAGAGTTGCAGAGGCTGAGTGGCCATTAAGGGCGGTAAAGCAGAGTCCACATGATAGTACAGCAGAAGGGAAGTAGAGGGAAAAGTTCCCCTCCAGCACTCAGTGCAGAAATGCTCAGCGTAGACATACGAGGAGACTGCTCGTGGCTGAGGAAGTCAGCAGAAACAAGCCTCTAGGGACAGGCTCTCCTGCAGCTGGGGACAGGATCTGTTTTCACCAGCCAGTGTGGGAAGGCTCCTCACTCAGAGGTGCTGCCCGGAGGTGGCAGCCCTAGACAGAACAGAGTTGCAGAGCTACTGGACAAAAGCCCCAGAGCAAGGCCTGAGAGGATCAGGCTGTTTTCAAGCAACTCCATCTGGGAGGATGAGTTCAGACAAATCTATAAGAATTCTGAAAATATCCAAAGTAGTAGTAACAAGGGCTGGTGATCAATCAGAGGCTAGCAGGTGTGAGAAGAGGTAGGAAAATATGACCCAGAGTGAGATGACTCAGTCACGCAATGCAATCCAGATGCAAGTGGTAGGATGAGCAGAGGCCACGAAAACAGGGATCGCAGCCACTGTTTCTTGTGTTCTTGTGTCCAAAAGGTTAAATAGCGACATGAAGGTATTTTTTAAAAAGATCTAAGTGGAATTTACAGAGATTAGAAATACAGTAAGAGGAAAACTACACTGGATGAAGCTAGTGGCAGATGGGATATTGCAGAAGAGAGGGGTGCTGAAGGTGAAGCTCAAACAACAGAAACAATCTAAAACGCAATGAGAAAAACATGAGCCAGATGGGACGGCTCATGCCAGGAATCCCAGAACGCAGGAGGCTGAGGCAGGAGGACCGCCATGATTGGAGCTACACAGTGAGCCCAAAGGCCAGCCTGAACCATATAGTGAAACCTTGCCTCAAAAAAGACCAGAAACAAAACAAAATAAATACAACACAAAAAGAGCACCAGGAAGCTATTACACACACACACACACACACACACACACACGTCACTCAGCTGGACCCCCTGAAGACAGGGACAGGACAGAAAAAAAGTGGAGATAAAATAGATCAAGGAAATAAAAAAGGTCAAAGCCTTTCCAAACTTAATAAGCACTATCAACTCAGAGACAGAAGGAGCTTAGTGTGTTCAAGCACAGAAATGATGACGGCAGTGACACCATGACACATTACAAATGGCTCAAAATCAGTGGCAAAAAGAAAATCTTAAAAGCAACTAAAGAAAAAGATACATGAAGAATAAAGTTGAGGTCAGGGGTATAGCTCAGTGGCACAGCACCTGCCTGGCAAGTATGAGGTGGTGAGTTTGAACCTCGGTACAAAAAAAAAAAAAAAAGATAAAAAATGAAGCTGAGCAGGACAGTGATTGCTCACTGGAGGACCAGGTGTGTGGTGCACACCTGTCATCCCAGCACTATCGAGGTTGAGGCAGGAGAATTGCTGAGTTCTAGGTCAGCCTGGGTTACATATAGCAAGACCTTGTCTTAAAAGGCAGAATCAACAGCAAAGACAAAACAAGATAACAAAAAGCCTGTTGCTCATTGGAAGCAAGCAAGCAGAGCAGCTTAGAACCTTTCTATGGTACATAATAACATTAACTGGAATTCTTCAAAAATATCTTTAAAAGTGATGGAAAGCCAATGTGGTAACTCATGCCTCGATCCCAGTATTTCGAGTTCGAGGCTTGTCTGGGCAACATAGTGAGTTCAAGGCCAGCCTGGACTATGTAACAAGACCCTGTCTAGCAGGTACTAGGTTCTGGCTTCTAGCATAATGACAAAAGAGAAACAGAGAAGAAAGAAGACAGACACTTTCAGGTTTTGCTTTCTATTTTAGCCTATCAGATCACCAAAGCTTCAAAGAGAAACTACCCTTTCCCTCGGCATGCTGCTTCTGTAAGGGAACATTTGAACCCTTGTCCTCAAAGTCTTTGGACTTAGTAACAGTGTCACTGGGAGATAACTGGATTCTGCCCTTTCACATGTACCTCACGTTTGAGGCTCACTGGCATTTGCATGCACTATCCTGGTCACCGGAAAACAAGGACACTTTTTCTTTTCTTTCTTTCTTTCTTTCTTTTTTTTTTTTTTTTTTTTGTGGTAATGGGGATCAAACTGAGGACCTCACACTTGCCAGGCAGGCACTTATGCCACTGAGCTAAATCGCTGCCCCCTCTTTCTTTCTTTCTTTCTTTCTTTCTTTCTTTCTTTCTTTCTTTCTTTCTTAGGCAGAGTCTCACTAAGTTGCCCAGGCTGGGCTTGAATTTGTGATCTTTCCTCAGCTTCCCAAGTAGCTGGATTATAGATGTGTGCACTGTGCCCAGACAAGAAAACTTCTTTTTCTTTTTTTGTAATTTTTGCAGTGTTAGAGAGGTCATCAGAGCCTTGGGCACACTAGGCAAGCACTCTACCCCTGAACTTCACGTTGAGCCCTTTAGCAAGCAAAAATGACCAGAGCACTGTGGTTGACTCTTCCTGGTCAAAATAAGTCTTTCACTTTTTGTCATTAAAAGAAAAGGAGGAGGTGGGAGAAGGAAAAAACATCATCTTCATCATTATTTGATGGTATAAAAACTGCAGCAAGCTGTTTGTATCACTGAAAGCTCTAAAAGGGTCGTCATCACTGTCTTGAGGTATATGAACAAAGTCGCGAATAATCGCCTCGTTACCCTTGAATGACCCTGGAAAAAGCTGGCCTGGGTCCTTGGTCACCCAGGCCCTGGATGGGCATCTTCCTTTCGCTTGGAAACTGGACTGCAGTAACTGGCAGTTGAACTCCTTTCCCATGACGGTGAACCAAACTCGGGGTGCTGTTTGCTAGCTGTCAACCCTATCCTTTCTGCTCCACCTTCCGCCCAGCCTCTCTGCTCGTGACACACGCAGACAGCCTTCACCACCTGCTGAAGCCCATGTGGATTCTGAAGCCACCATGGTGCAAAGGCTTGACTTATTCAACTTCCAGGGCCCACCAGCCATGTGGTCATTATGGTTGGACTCTGATGAGTTCTCTGTCCTCTGTCGGATGGAGTGACACTCCTTGCCTCTTCCCTGATGGTCTGTGCAACGAGGAAGCTGTCACTATCTACCAAAAATGGTCTCCTGCTTCTCAAAAAAAAAAAAAAAGTTTTTAAATGCTGTACTGAGGATTGAATCTGGAGCCTTTGCATCAAGGAAAACCCCAGTCCTATTTTTATTATTTTGAGACAAGTTTTCTCACTAAGTTGCTAAGTTGCCCAGGCTAGGTTTGAACACTGATCCTCTTGCCTCTGCTTTCCAGAGTGCGGGGATTTAAAAATCTCTATTTGTTTGTTGTTTGGTCTTTTTTTTTTAATGTAGGAGAAATATACTACCACTCAACCTGTACTGTAAGGTTGGCAGCCCTGAAAACTCCTTTTTTTAAAGGTAGCATGTCATGGATATATTCCTGCTCCACAAGGAATGAGGAGAAGGCATGTCCACAGGGTCTCGCTCTGCAGCTCAGGCTGGCCGTGGACTCACTATGTGGGCTAGGCTGGCCTTGAACTTGCACAATCCTTCTGCCTCAGCCTTTCGAGTGCTGGATTACTGTGAAAAATCTTTTAATGTTTATGTGTACTTTTATTTGCCTTTGGAGGAGTTCTTCATTGTGAACAATAGTCAAAACACGCTTTCTTACCTTTGGAGACATAAACATGTCTAAAGGTATTTACTTATGTCTTGTGGTCATCCTTTGCTGTCATGCTGAGAAAATGTGTTGGTTACTAAAAAATGACAGTGGTGCATGTTTAAAAAAGTGTGGAGGGAGCAAGACAGGAGACAGGAGGAGCGGGCAGAGCGCGTGAGGGTCAAAGCCCTTGTGAGGTCCTGGGTTCTATCCTTAGCGCCACGATTAAAAAGAGACAACGGGGGGCACCCTGTTTGCAGGGATGTCTTGCAGTCTTGCAACTCTTTCGCTGCTGTTCTTCAACTCAAATCTGGTGAGCCGTTACTATTTGGCATTTCCTTGGATGGACACTTGGGGGCGCAAAAAGCTTCACTAACTTCCTGTCCTCTCCATGGCTCTGACTGAGGAACACAGCTGCACAGAGCTGGGAGAATGGGACTGTCAATGCCAAAGGGGCAGCTAATCCAGGTCTGCAGGGATCATGTGAAAATAACCCAGGCTGATGTTGTTCATATGAAGAAGGATTTGGAGTTTGGAGATGATTTGGTTATCCTGTGCACTTCTCAGGATGGACAGGTACATGCCCATGTGCAAAAGCCACCATCAGGGGCCATGCATGGTACCCAGCTGTAATCCCAGCTGAGAGACTGAGGCAGGAGAATTGCAAATTAGAGATCACTCTGGGCAATTTAGTGATTCAGCAAGACCCTGTCTCAAAATAAAAAGCTTAAAAAGGAGCTATAACCCTGTGTAGGTCTTGGGTTCAATCCTTACTACTGCAGAACAAAACAAGCAAAGCAAAGTCAAGCTGCCCTTAGCAAGGGGCCTCCCACAGGGGTCAGTTTTCCTGGCCCATGGCCAGTAAAAGGACTTGTGCATTTCAGGACAGAGCGTATAGGAAAACATGAAAAGCTCCAAAGGCAACAAAAACTCTACTTAGGAAGCATTTTCCCACCCAACTTGGCAAAGCTCAAAATTTTGGATACTGACCTGAGGTGCTGGGGAGGGAGGAGTGTCAAGAAAGAAGCTCTTTCCCGTGTTGCTGGGAAAGACAGAATCTATTCACACGTGTGAATGTTACCTTGGAACAGCGGTTAGAAGGTTGGAAGAACTATGTCAAATACCCGCGGTATGGAACTTGTGAAATAAATTAGGAAAAATTAAAAAAAAAAAAAAAATTAGGAAAAATTTACACCAAAATACTGTGCAGTGGTAAAAAGACAGAGGCCCAAGGAGCCCCCTCAAGACCAGGAGCCGCTGTCTGCTTACCGCTTGGGTGGCCTTCCAGCCATCGGCAATGGCTTGCTCCAGCTCCTCCCAGGTGACCATGGTCACTTCTTCTCCACCAGGAATATTATTCAGCTTCTGCCTTATATAGTCCTGACAATAAAAGACATACATATGCAGCTGTGTGCACTGTGTGCGATGTGGGACTCCAGTAAAGAGTTGGGTAGGAATAGAAAGGATTTCTCCCTCCATCAGGGGGATGCACTGTGGGACAAGCCACAGTGAGCGGTGAGGTTGGAGATGTCCCCCACCCCGGCACTCCGGAGGGCCCTCCCCCCAGTGCCGGCTGATGGTTGCTTACCAGGAAATCATCTCTCTCTTTAACTAGCTTCTCAAGCTCTTCCATGCGCTGCAAAACTTCCTGGATACTCTGAAAGCAGAGATCAGAGATGAGTATCATGCAGTCCAACTGGAGACACTGCACACACACAGACACACAGACACACACAGACACACACAGACACACACACACACACACACACACACACACACACACACACACACAGACACACACAGTGGACTGGACGGAACAGGAAAGGGGGCCCGTATGTGGCTTTTAGAGGGAGGGTTTCTAGTTTTTCTAGTTTCTACCTGGTTTTACCTGGTCTACAGTAAAGTTAGGCTGCAATTCTTTTCCCAGAAACCACTACATGCTACCCAAAGCTGCCAGTACTGCTGCCTGGAGCCCACTCTGCCTCTCAAGGAGCCAGCAGCAGGGACTTCTCCAGGGTCTGTGCCATTCAAAGAGCAAAGTCATCAAGAGAACCCAAGCAAGTTGCTAAAGTTTAAGTTGCTCCTTATAATGTGTGCCAACCTCCAAAATCTAAGATTAGATTACAAACAAAACATAATGAAACAAACCCTCCACTCTTCAAAGTTGCAAAAGAAAAAGAAAAGTGGGTACAGTTCCCAGAGCAAAGAGGAGCAGGGCTGAGGTCACAAGGCCTGGAGTGGCACAGGACAGGGTTGGTGCCAGCGGCTCTGAGGCTTTTCTGTGCCCCTCCTTCCTTGCCTTGGCCGGCCCCACAGTTCCTCACTGGTCCTTCTTTCCCTCAGTGTGGAAATGTGAGCATATGTCTACCACTGCCTTGCACAGACTCACTTTGTTTCCTATACTTGTTAGTGCTCACACTCAGCCGCTTGTGTGGATTCTTCCTCCCAAGAAAACCAAAGGTCAGGGGAGCCTGTCCCCTACTGTCGTGGCCTGTATCCATCACCACAGGGTGACGGTGTCTAACTCGGCAGCCTCACCCCTCCTTGTGGACAGCGCTTTGACTTTCAAAGTCCACTACTGATTTTTATTTTTATTTTTAGTGGTACTGGGGATTGAACCTATGGACACATGTAATTTAGCCCCTTTTTTCCCTTCTTTTTTTTTTTTTTTTTTTGTGTGTGTGTGTGCCAGGGATTGAACTCACGACCTCGTGCTTGCCAGGCAAGTGCTTACACTGCTGAGCTGAATCCCCAGCCCCTTTTCCCTTAATTCTGAAACAAGGTCTCACTCAATGGCCCAGGGCTGGCCTTGAACTTGTGGTTCTCTGCCTCAGCCTCCAAACAGATGTATTATAGACATGAACTACCACACCTGGTCTCTTCTTTTCTTTCATTTTTTTTTCTCTTCACTCTTTCTTTCTTTCTTTCTTTCTTTCTATTTTTTTTTTGTGGTGTCCTGGGAATTGAACGCATGGCTTTGTACTGAGCCTTTTTTATATTTTGAGATGGAGCATCATTGCTAACGTGTCCAGGCCAGCATGGAATCCCAGAGCAGGGGGTTACAGGCACGTGCTACCATGTGCACGTCTCCCTCCTTCCTCCTTCCCTTCTTTTTCCTCCTCCTCCTTCTGCTCCCTCCCCTTCTTCCCTTCTCATCTTTTTGGGTTGGGGCTGAACCCAGACCTTCACACTGAGCCCCATTCTCAACTGTTGTTTTATTTTTTCTTTTAGGACAGAGTTTCAGTAAACAGCACAGGCTGAGCTCAGGATTGCAATCCTCCTGTTTCAGCCTCTGAATCGAGCTTTACCTCTTAACTCTATTTGGTTTGAGTTGATTATTTTTGAGACAGGGTCTCACTATGTAGTGAAGGCTGACTGACACTCCCTATGTAGCCCAGACTGGTTTTAAGCTTGCAGTGATCCTCCCGTCTCACTCAGCCTTCTGAGAGCTGGGATTGTGAGCAGCCACCACTAGGAAGGGCTTAATGGAAGGGGAGTTTGCTCTGAGAATTCTGAGATATTGTTGGTTTATATGTGGGTCAGCTCAGGTCCTTCAGTGGCAGGAGAGCACTGAAAGGGAGCGATCGTGGGGTGGGGGACACGAAGGCCACCTTACTCTGGAGTTGGAGTCCCTGGTACCTTCTCCTGCGGTTTCAACTTCTTTGCTTTCGCATGGGCTTCCTTCAGACTTTTCACATCTTGCTGTGGTTTCAGCTCCTGCGCTTTTGGGCGGGCTTCTTTCAGACCTTTCACATCTTCCTGGAGCAGGTCTACGGGCTGTAAGGCAGAGCGAGGCTGATGAACCCAGGAAGGGAAGCCTGTCGCCTCCCCTCGAGGCTCAGCTCCCAGGGCCACGCTGCAGCAGCTCAGGGCTCAGCTGCTGCCAGGACCGGAGGCACAGAGGGCTTGCTGGCCTCTGTGCTCATCCTGGGCGCTGACCTTCATTTCGTTCTTCTGGGCCTTCGTGGATCCTAGCTGAGCCTCCTCTGTGTCTGGCGTGGCTGTGGGGGCCTCCACGGTCTGCAGGGTGATTTGCTGCACGTGGGTGGCAATGACCTGCAACTGGCTGTCCACAGCCTTGAGCTGCTTGCTGAGGTCCTGCACCTGGTCACCCAGGTCCTTCACCTGGTTCTCCAGGACAAGGGAGGATGACCTGCTCCCAATCTTGCGCTTCTCTTTGCTGGGGTGCAGGGGTGGCGTGCCGAAGAGGGCGCTGCGCGAGGCTCGGAGCGGCTCAGCAGAGCGGAGGGACTCGATGGAGTGGCCTCCCTCAGGGGACAGGGACTGGATGTCGATGACTGTCTCTTGGAGGTTGAGGTTCTTGAGGATGGCTACTAGGAGAGTGTGCAGGGCCGTGAAGTTGACGGCGCCCACCTCCGGTGTGCCGATGGCCAGGTCGGCGAGCTCCCTGAGGGAGACCTTGTTGGCCGACGAGGCAGGAGGCATCTCGATGTGTTGAGAGGAGCACAACCCCAGGCACCCAGACCACCAGCGCCCCTCACTCCTCCTCCTGCCTCCGGGGCCTTTGGAGGACCCTGTGAGGTCCCTGCGAGCCCCTGCCTGGCACCCAGCCTCGCGGGGCAACAGTCACAGGACTCGGCCTTGCGCCTCGGACCCTGGCCTCCTGCAATGAGCGCCCCTGCGCCCGGCGGAGTCCAGCGGGGCCTCCTCGAGGGTCTCCACCCCCGGTGCCAATTCACACCACAGAATGTTTTGGTCGGGCTTCGGCACCAGAGGATTCTGCGGAAGAACGGGGCTCCACAGAGAACCGAGAACCTCCGGAAGCAGAACAAAGGCCACCGCTGGTGAGGGCCTCCCAGACAGCCGTAGGGTCTCGGGAAGCCTGACCACACCCCTCAAAGTGTCGCGAACTTCTATTCAGAAAACGGTCCCAAAGGTGGTGTGGGGCATTTGCGTTAGGAGCACATCAGCCCGTGGGATGGTAGTGGGACTCTTAAGGCAGAGCCACACATCCGAGGGAAGCAGGCCCAGGGCTGTGGCCCCTCAACATCCCCATAGCACGCTTAGTCAAGACCGAGGACTTGGAAAAGATGACCCAGGATGCAGGTAGCTCCAATCAGCCACCAGGGGACAGACCTCCGTGTTGGATTCACTTTATCCCAAAACAACTCATCTGGCTGAGTGCCACTGTTACAGTTCATTGCCAAGTAAACTAGAAGCCCAGTGCCCTGGACTTTCCTATCCCAGATCCCAGCAAAACACATGGACATAAACTTCCTGACAAGTGCTTACATAATGTTAAGCTACTCAAAGGAAACCCGATTACATCTGTAACATATTTCACCAACTCAGATTTGGAGTTTAGTTTGAGTTCATACTGTTTTTAATAAAAGAATTTTTTTCTTTGTGGTACTGGGAATCAAACTGATCACCTCATGCATGCCAGGAAGGTGCTTTGCTGCTAAGCTATATCCCTGGCCCACCATTATATTTCTGATACCTGATGACCACAGGTGGTGGTTGAAATGAAAGAACAATTTCTTAACAATCTTCTGTGCCTTTGTATGAGCCCTAGGATCAAGTACAGGGAGTCTGTGGTGCACTGCTCAGTTCTGAATTTAGTAACTGTTCTGGCTTGCATCTAGCTGTCCCCCAAGGCCTTGTGTGGTCATGGTGCTCAGTGGTGGCTGCATCTGGAGTGTGTGATGCTGGGATTGATGCATGGCACGATGCCAGGGCCCTGCGGTTAGGTGTGAGCACTGCCCAGCCTAAGTAGCCTGGGAAAGCTGTCAGGGACGGGAAGCTGTGCTCCTGCCTTTGCCCACCATGAACTGCTTCTCCTCTGGGATGCCCCTTGGCCATGCCACCCTGCTTTGGAGCCAGCAGATTATGGGCTGAAACCTCTACAGACTGTGAGCTAAATAAACCCTTCCTCCTTTAACTTTGGGTGTTGGTGATTCTGTCTCAGCAACGAGGAACCTAAGACAGCAACCTTCCCAAAGAACGTCCACAGTCACAATGACTACTGCTATGTCAGAGCGTCAGGCCTCTGAACCTCATTCATTCATCTTTACATCTCTGAGGCTTAGTATCTTTTTCAAATTTTTTGGTGTCTAGGATGGAAAATGAAACCTGGAGCCAGGTATAGTGGTACACGCCTGTAACCCCAGCACTTGGGGAAGTTAGGACAGGCGGATCCCTGCGAGTCTGAGGCCAGCCTGGGCTACAAAATAAATTCAAGGCCAGCCTGAACTACAAGTTCAGACAGTGAGAGAGCAACAGACAGACAAAAAGAAGGAGTCCCTGCACATCAGGCAAGGGTTCAACCACTGAACTACACAAGGGCCAAGTGTCCTGTCAGATTCATTATGACTCACTAAACACAAGAAAGGGTAGTATTTTCCAACTCCAGGAACTACTACTGCCTATTTTTTTCTTAAGTCCATTTTAAAATTACTGTCCTTGGGGACTTGAGAAGAAAATCAAGTGTTACCAGGAGGTATAAATGAAATTTTAGAAAGGCCCTGACTAGCAAGAACCAGGTCTTACCCCTCATGGTCCACAGCTCTTCCACTACCATCACACTAATTATTTTAAAGACTTTTCAAATTTTCCTACTTGGATTATTTGTGTGCTTGGCAAAGCTAATGTGACTCAAAGTCATGGCCGCAGATAGGGAAATTTTCTTGTTACTAAAAAAGGGATAGCTGGGAGTGATGCACACCTGTAATCCCAGGACTTGTGAGGCTGAGGCAAGAGGATCACTGCAAGTTCAAGACCAACCTGGGATAGATACAAAGTGAGCTGGAGATCAGCCTGAACTGCATAGTGAGACCCCGTCTCAGAGACAAAAGACAAAACAAGAAAAACAAAAACCCAAAAACCCAACAACAATAACAACAAACCAATGGCAATGTATCATTGTTGCCCCTGGGGGAAAAAAGAAACAATTCCATGTCTCAGGAGCTAATAGAGCCTCTAAGCAAGCTCAGTTAATCCCCAGCATACACTCTTCCTTCTGACAACATCCTGATGTGGGGGGGCTCAGAGATAGAAAAAGCCCTTCCATGCTTGTGGTCTCCTGACAAAGGTGTGTACGCTGGAACTGTGACCATGTGATTCAGATACAGGGTAGAGGGGGCAAGTGGAATCCTAAGTGATGCAGTTAACTATAGCATCCTCCATTACAAAGGCAAGCGACAGCTGGGTCTATGTTTTTCTTTTAATTTGGATTTTAACAAGGGTTTACTTCAATTTAGTGCTTAGGAAGGGGATGGAATCTGCAGAAGATTTATGTCTGGCGTCTGCACCTACCATAGACCTTTTTTGCTCCCACTGTCTTTTGCACAGTATGGACAGAAGTTAGTCCACCTGCCTAGCAGGGACTCTGCAGTGTAGCAGACTAGGGAGATAACAAAATTTTTTATTTGCAATTTCAGGGTGACACAGATGCCCAGAGATGGCCTGCAGCATGATAACTCCAAGAGGAACAAAAACATAAATGCTTTGCTGTTCCATGGCAGTAGCATGACAGAAAGAAAAATGGGATTTGCTACAGAAAAACTTATATGAACTAGGTAGAGGACAACTGGACAGAGATAGTGGCAGGGTCACTTAGCTCCTCGGCCGAGTTCAACATCACTCCTGCATTCTCTGGATTGAAACCAATGAGTGAACATCACAGAATTAACACCTTAGCTGCTTTTAACTCTGCTTCACTGTAACAATTTTCAGATTCTTTTCAGGAGTGTCTGTAGCTTCTACAGAGGAACAGCGCTGGCGAGGGGAAACACTTAAGGTCATGTTGCTTATCACTAGTTTGCTTTCTTTACTATATGAATGCCCCTCCTCACCACGCTTGGTGAGAGAGACACCTAGCTTCCCACTATCTCCATTCCTTTCCTGCAGAGAAATGCTGTGTGTGTGGCTGCTGGCGCTGCTTTGAGCAGGTCTCCTCCAGCATGTGAGGATGAAGCAGCTTAGTCATCCACTGTGATGTTCCGGAAGAGGTAAGCCATGGACTCTCCATTGTGGATTCTCCGGATTGCTTCAGAAAGAATCAAACTGATATCCACTGTCTTTATCTTGGGACACTGCAGCTTCTGAATCTCATGAGGGACAGTGTTTGTCACCACAACCTAGTCATAAAAAAATAGAGAAAAAAATCTGTTATTAATATATGCCTCAACTTGGCTGCTAAGAATACAACATCTTGCGTTTTTACCCACAGATCAAGTTCCAAACTGTAAAACTATGTAGTACAGTTTTATCCATGAAAATGACTTTACACAGGAGGTTATATGGTTCAGAACACAAGTTCTAGAAATGTCACAGTTTACATAACAAGAATACAATGAATACCGGCATTTGCAAAATTTTCCTATTATCAGGAGAGAATTCAAGTTTCTTATGTTACTATAGTGCAAGGTTAAAGCACTGAAGCAAATTTTTATATGTACCTGGCTTAGATTTACACTTAAGATCCTCCTGGCTCAGAGTGCTGACATTACAGGTGTGCAGCATCGCAAAAAGCTAAGCAACCTGCTATTGAGTCATTTTATTGTTCATAAGAACCACAGCAACACACTTTGACTCAGACCCAATGTTCCAGCCCTACAGGAGACACACCTCATCAATGGAGGACTCCTCAATCAGGCGGGGAGCTTCAGCAGACAGGATGCCGTGAGTAGCCATAACATAGATCTTGTAAGCACCCCTCTCTTTTAGGATCTCCGCAGCAGCAACAAAGCTCTCCACATCGTCAATAATGTCATCCTGCAAGAAGACAGCACTAAGGGAGAATCCTTACCCCACTCTGCAGGGACACACCTGCTCTCTTCACTCACTGCTCCAGGGGTTTCTGATGGGGAGTCTGAGCGCACACCCAGGTCCAGGACTGAACATCCAGAGATGGCGAGAAATGCCTCGACGGTACCTTGTGCATTTGGAGGTGAGCCTCCCAGTCACATGAGAGTGACATGACGGCTTGAGCAAAAGACTGCCAAGGCTTGTTTCCTTCTTTCAAATTCCTGATTCATCCCACAGAGACAGTGTCCCATTTATTTTTTTCCACGACAAAGTAGCATGAGAGGAAAATAGAAGTAAAGTGAGGTACCGTAAACGACCAGTGACCCTCCAGCCAGCAAAGGCATTTGGAGCTGGGCAAGATCCAAAGTGAGGCTGCACTGGGATGCCTTTCTCACTGGGGACAAGGGAACTGCTAGTGCAGCTCAGGGAGAGGACTACGCGGGCTGGTCTGCGGGATCCAGCACCTGTAAGATGATGCTCTACTGCTCAATCTCCCCATGGTGGGCGTGGAGCTCTTTTTACATCTGCAGTTATACTTTAATCCTTATTCATTCATACATAACTTTCTGCTACTTTTCCTAAGGGAGTTTTGGTGAGAAAGGGTAGATGATGGATCCACCGAAATCCATCATCCTTCCCGGAAACACAATCCAAAGGCGGACAACTGAGAACCAGTGGTGTCATCTCTGCGCAGGGAGGGCAACAAGGCGCCACCATACCACTATGATTGCGATGCGTCCTCCCACATCTCCAACCACGGTTATTGGTGGCTTCTCTTTGGCCATCATCACTAGCAAAACAAAACACATCACCAGACATCAGTTAGTCGTGTGGCACTAGATGATGGACATGTCACAGCTTCATTTCCTAAAGCAGTGGCGAAGCCACAACACAGAACAATCACCAGAAGGCATGCAGATTCCCCCACCGCTGTAAGCCGGGCGTGGTGGCTCACGCCTGTTATCCCAGCACTCGGGAAGCTGAGGCAGGAGGATCATTTTGAGTTCCAGACCAGCCTAGACTACAAAGTGAGTTCAAGGCCAGCCTGAACTGCAGAGAGACCCTGTCTCAAAAAGACAAAAAAAAAAAAAAAAAAAAAAAAAAAAAAGAAAAGAAAAAGATTCCCCCACTGTGGACCTGAGGTCTCGGAGTGCAGCTGCTGAGGGCAGTGCTGACCCACAGAAGTAGAAGGCAAGCCACCATGAGGGGTGATCAAAAAGGACGATGACAGTTAAAACCAAAACCCAACAACACAGTGAGAAAAATTGCCAAGAACTATGAGACAAGTGTGTTCAAAGTGAGGGGGAGTATTTTGAGGATTGACAGGAATGTGTCTTTTATTGTAGTAAATGTTTTAAATAAGATTGACTTATTTAGGGTTTTTTTTTTTTTTTTGAGACAGGGTCTCTCTAAGTAGCCCAGCCTGGCCTTGAACTCACAGTGATCCTCTGGTCTCAGTCTCCCAAGTGCTGGGATGACAGGTATGCCCACCATGCCCTTCCTAGTCACTGTATATTTGATCATGCTTCCTATGTAACTAACTTTAAACCTTTTTTTTTTGTCTTTTTCGTTTTTATCGGTACCAGGGACTGAACTCATGACTTCCTGCTTGCAAGGCAGGCGCTTATGCCACTGAGCTAAATCCCCAGCCCCTAACTTTAAAATTTCTAATAGCTACATTATAGAGCAAAAGCAGGTGAACTTTATAGATTTTACCCAGCTTATTCAAAACTTTATCATTGCAACATATAATCAATATACATATTTATATTTTTGCATGTTAGTCTTCAGTCTGGGGTACATCTTTTTTTTTTTTTTTTTGTCTTTTTCGTTTTTATCGGTACCAGGGACTGAACTCACGACATCCTGCTTGCAAGGCAGGCGCTTATGCCGCTGAGCTAAATCCCCAGCCCCTAGTCTGGGGTACATCTTAAACATCCAGCTCTTTTCAGTTGAGACCAGCCACATTTCAAGAGCTCAGGAGCTGTGTGTGACATACGGGGGAGCACAGCATGGGGAGAAAGACCCAAGAGTAGAGGATGGACAATTTGCCAGTACAGAGAAGCAGCCCCAGACCCCACTCAGAACACAGCCGACTCCCACTGGGCTGAGGAGGAAATGCAGACCGAAAACCCAGCTGCGAGAGCCAGCCTGGTCAAGGGGCAGCTCATTGCATGCTCTCCCTGAGAAGCCGGACTTTGAGAGTGTGGCCTTCCTGTCAGATGACTGTGGTACTCACACAATCAGGCTCCCAAAACTTGGAACCTCAAGACAGTACCTACAAGTTCACCATCTTCCCCTTATTTAATTCATCCTTAAAGTTGAGGGTTCGTGGAGGGAGGGGGGGAGAGGAAGGAGAAGTAAACAGAATTAACCTATGTTCATAGCAGCACAGATTATAATAGCTAGATTTTGGAAACAACCTAAATGCCCATCAACTGAGGAATGTATAAAAAAAGATGTGATATTTCTATATAATGGAATACTATTCAGCCATAAAGAAAGATAAACTGGACATTTTTATAGGTAAATGGATGTACCTTGAAATCAATTATTAGTGAAATAAATGTCACACATGCATAATCATCGCATTGTGTCATTAGTATGATAAGAAAACAATGTATTTTGTCCCAGAGACAATGACTTCAGCTAAGCAACAACTCAGGCCACACCTGCCTTCACTTTAACTAACCCACTGTGAGTCATTTTAGGTTGACTTTTGGATGTTCTAAGAGATTTCTGATGGGCTATTTGGATTTTTTGCCTGTGGATATCCAGTTGTTCCAGTACATTTATTGAGGGTACAATCCTTTCTCCAATTAACTGCTTTTGCTCTTTGCCCAAAATCAATTGCCTGTTATGTGGGTATCTATTTTGGGACTTCATATTGGTACCTGGTGGTTTGTCTTGTCTTGGTATCACTGCCGTTTTGTCATGATTGGTATAGCTTTGTGGTAAGCTGTAGGGTTGGAGAGGGCCGGAGTTCTAATTTTGTTCCTTTATCCAAGTTGTTTACACTATTCTGAGTCTTTTATTTCTACAGGAATGTAAAAATCAAAATGTTAAACTATATGAAAAATGATGTTGACAGTTTGATAAGGGATCGTGCTTGCTGATCTTTATTGTTTTCCTCTATTCATTTTTTGTTTCATTCTGTCTTTTATTTTTAATTTAAAAAACCCAAAAAATAGAATTAAGCTGTGTTATGTCTGTGTACCAACTCCCTAAATAAATGTAATAATGTAATAATCGTGTACTACAAACAAGTACTAATAAAAATTTAAAAAAGTAGAGACTTGTTATCTCATTGCAAAATATGCATCTGAAAGAGGTCATGAGTATACAAAGCAAATGAGAGGACAGAGAAAAAAAATTAAGGATTCATCCTTAAAAGCAGGTTCGTGCCAGGCTGGGGATATAGCTCAGCAGCACAGCGCCTGCCTGGCAAGCACAAGGTCCTGAGTTTGCCTTTTTTTTGTTCCTCTTTTTGAGACAGGCCTCGCTATGCAGTTCGGGCTGGCCTTGAGCTCACTTTGTAGCCCAGGCTGGTCTCGAGCTTGCAGTGATCCTCCTGCCTCAGCCTCCTGAGTGCTGGGACTACGGGAGTGTGCCACCACACCTGGCAAGGTCCTGAGTTGATTCTCAATTACTCCCCACCCCCAAAAAAGGGGTTAGTGCCAAGGGCAGTGGCATACACCTGTCATCCCAGCTACTTCGGAGGCTAAGGCAGGAAGCCTGCAAACTTGAGCCAACAAGACCCTATCTCAAAAACAGAAAACAAATACATAGAAAAGGGCTGGGATGTAGCTTAGTAACCAAACACTTGCCTAGCATGCACCAGGTCTTGGGTTCCATCTCAAGCACCAAAACAATGGCCAAGGTTAGTAAATTGAGAGCGTGAGAATTCTTCAGAAGAACAAGCTAGACATTTTATTCTTCTAGAAGATTTTATTAATTTGAAATATTTATTACACTGGTTGTGGGGAAGAGGGAAGAACACAATTTAGAATGATTACACAATTTAGTGACTAACACTTCTAGCAGCCTCTCACCTATCGATAGGCACGGGGCAAAGCACTAGTGTTCCTTCCTACACAATAGCAAATTAGCTCTGCTAAAATTCAGCCCTCTCTGTAATAAACACTGGAATATTTTAATAGGCAAGTCTCAGAAACATGAGCAGTCAAAGAAGGCTCTGTGTGTAAACATCACTTAAGAGAGGCAGAATCGACCCACACACATTAGGACAACTTCCTTGGGCTCCCTCTTTAAATTCCACCATCTGGGAAGTGGTTACATGGACCTGGCCACTTCTTAAAGAGATGTGGTCCCCTTTCCTGGTTCTTTTTCCCTAAAAAAATAGAAGACTGCTAGTCAGCAAACCTCATCAAAAATCAACACTCCACTTCAGTAGACAAAATAAGCACATTTTCATCTTTCTTTTTCTCCAACTTTTATCTCTTCCAAAACTATTGCTGAGCTGAGATGAAAACCGAGGCCTGGCTATAACAGAGGCCTGGACAGGCTGGAGAGGAAGCCTTTCTCCCTGGGTACTCATTCCTTGTGCATATCTGGCCTTAGGGTCTGGATAAAACTGAAGACATAATTTGGTGGCTCCTAAAAACAGATAGTCTTTATTACAGAGTACAGGGAGTATCGAGCACCTCACAAGCTAAAAATGCCAACCATTCCTAATAGCTGACCCGCTTTCTAAATTCGAATTTTCCATGAAGGACTATATATTTGTGATAAAGGCTGAAGACAAAGAAGACTAAAACTATCCTGCATTAAGGTTCTGCTCTTTATCTCCATTTTATCAAAACAACAGAAACAAAACACACACACACACACACACACAGAATCAAGTTTAAGAATAAAATGAGTTACACAAGGGGAATAAAGGCATTGGCTATCACTAAAAACATTTCCAATTCATCAGATAATTTTTAACATTTTTATTTAAAAAGTAAATTTCTGGGCATGGTGGCACATTCCCATAATCCCAGCACTCGGAAGGCTGAGGCAGGAGGATCCTTGAGAGTTTGAGATCAGCTTGGACTACAAAGTGAGCCCAAGGCCAGCCTGACTTGCATAGACGGGACCCTGTCTCAAAAAGTAAAAACAAAACAAAAAACAAAAACAAGTAATACGTTGTTTTTTGCTTTTAAAATTGGCATTTCCCAAACAGAATAATGCTGCATTTACGATGTCCTTAAACTGCAAAAGGCTCAGGCATGCTTCCACAGCATCAGCGCCCATGCTCACACGCCTTCACCTAGCCACTGGGGTCACCTGGCCAACCTTTCTCCACTAAGGCAAACAGCAAAGGAGGCCCATGTGGCAGCGTTCACTCCAGACGTCCTCAGACCTCAGCTTGTTCCCAGTTCAAGGAAACGCCAGGCCTCACCAAGAGAGCAGCGAGGAAAGTGATCTGCATCCAGACTCAGACTCCGCCTCCGCCTCCAAATGAAGGAGCGACACTCAACAGGATCCCAGGGAGCTAACAGCCATTTCAATTTACTAGTGAAACCGCTCTCATCAAAGCAATATGCAGGAAAATCAAGCCAGGTGAGATTTTCTCCCATTTTCTGTGATCCAAACTCTTTCTTTCTTTCTTTTTTGGTACCAGGGATCGAACTCCGACCTCACACTTGCCAGGCAGGTGCTTATGCCGCCAAGCTAAACCCCTGGCCTAAACTCTTCATTTTCACCACTGCAGCAAATAATGATTCATTAGCCTGTAGCAAAAGTACTAATGTATGACGTAAAATCTTTCCAAGTTCGTTAGAT